AAACAATTTTCATAGTAATAAGCAGAAGGAAACATTTAGCTTCTTTTCTATTTACATTTATATACTATAGGGCAAGCTTTCTCCTTATTGGTATATGTGTTTACCACCGTGTCTGGTGACTGAACATGTTCTGTCCACTGGGTCAAATGCAGCACGTTGGCGGTTGAATTACTCAAAACCACCAACATGCCCCAAAATAGAGACAGACAACTCGAGCCGGGCAGGTCATTTTCATTAAAAGCATGTTGTCGCTCTTCATGTCTGACTGAAAAAGGCCTAAGTGACGATCAACTGATGCCATAATCAGCAGCATCAGCAGCAGCAGAAATGAACATGATATTCACTGGTACGTTGTATAACCCACCATCCCGTCTTTCTCTCTCGCAGTCTTTCTGTCTATACGTATCCCTCTTTCTCTCTTCTCCCCCACTTCTCTCGCTCTCTCATTTTCCGTTGACAAGCTCTCTGAATCTTTGACCACACAGCCTGGAAAAATAGCACGGAGTCATGCTGCAAGGCAAGTCTATCCCTGACCCTGATTCCCTCTCACCACATTTCCATCAGCAGTGAAGTAAAACACATCTAATCATTTCAATTTTCCCCCTCCGTCGCAGTATTATTAACATTGTTAATTTTCTGAGGGTTGCAGCCCAGAGGGGGAATGTCAAGGGAAATGCATTATGGTGAGATATTCCATTGATCCACCATTATACACACTTACTTGGTTGCTGTAATGGCCTAATGATACCAAGAGGCCAATTTAAAACCAATGTAGAAAACAGAAGGCCATTCAAAAGAAACAAAACCAAGCATGTGATGTCAATGTATAGACATAGCCTAACATCTAAGGAGTCCCACTGCTTTGTTTTATGCTCCTTTTTACTGCTGCTGCGTTCGTGTTACCAGAAAGATGAATTATCTGGCAAACTTCACTAAAGTTTCAAGGAAGACGCCTGCTGGATGAACTTGCTAGTATTAAAGTGTCCAAAAGAAAGCTTCTGGGAGCGCTTCATACGTGCTGTGCTGGAATTTCCTACTCAAGTAGGTACTATATATATTACTCTATAAGTTAAAACATTAGTCTTGAAGACATCATGATTTTGAAAGGTTAAGAAGAAAGACTTCAAACTAGATAGCTGCTACACAGTTTTCCAGTTTCTGTGGGAAACAGAATTGTCCTATGCAATGGATGTTATTTCAACAGTTATGAAGTACACTTGAGTAAAAACTTTATAAAATACTAAGAAAGAACACACAATTTACAGTCCCAGGTAGGACTGGATATTGTTGGAAATGTTCTGATGCCTCGGTCTTCTTACTCCCTTTCACACACTTGAGCGTCCTTAAACAAAGAACTTATGCCTCATAAACTATCACCACCAAGTTTCTCTTTTCTGTGGTGATGACAGCAAAAGGTGAACTATGTTGAGACAAGGAGTAGACTCTACCTCTATTCCGAGGACTTGGATGTCAGCAAACAAACTGCGCACTCACTGCCATCACTTCAATCAACTTGTTACTGTGAGTGTTTTCATTTTCTGTTGAGCTGAGTAACCAGAAGAACTTTTGCCAGCGTGAAACGGCTCGACTATAAGGTTTGCACGGAAAAGTTGACCACTGGTGAACATGATGGAGACAGTCTTATTGCTTCCTGCTTTTTACCAAAGTAAAAGCCAAAAGAAAAAGGCAAAAAATGTGGCCAGCATCAATCAAAATGCAGAAGAAGTCGATGCCGAGGCTTTGGGATACATTGTAATTTGGGATACATTATAAAAAACAAACATCCATTAGCATGTGCCAATGCACAGAGAGAGCAAACTGTGTCTGTTCTTAGTGTTTACAGCAGGTAGCTTACACGCACAACAGGGGCCTGTATAAGATTGTGTTAGTCAAGTGCTTATAGTCTTTAGATTTGCTTATTCATAAGATGAATAAAGGTTTGTGCACTTGAATCCAGGCTTTTGAGAAGTGTTGTCAGGTGTATCCAAGGTTCAAACAGTTCTATAACATAGGAACAAATGCCTGCACACTTAGAATTTATTTCCTATGATATGGAGAAGCTGAACACAAAACAAGTTCAATGTTATCCATTGAGACCACAAACTATCAAAGTCCAAAACAAAAGTAATGTGAACATTCAGCACTGAGACACAATTCAGAGATCTCAGGTCTTCAAACACAAATTTCTGAGAGCAACTGGCCACATAGTAAGAAAAAGGTGTAACATGGTTGTTTGAGTTATGTGTGTGTTATCAATTGCCTAGTTGGACCAGAATCAACTAGGCAGCAGAGACAACCACAATAAATGCAAAAACATTTTACACTCAAGTAATGACTTTGTTAATTCAGCAATCACATGCCACTTGTTGCATATAAACAGGCTTGGGCTAATGAGCTTCCAACACTAGTTAAACCTGGAGCTACTAATACAACTGATAGCTGTCATATGGACAATAACTGTCCATACGAAACGTATAATCAGCCCTGGGGAACATAATCGCGCCCACCCAACGCCCCAAGGTTCATCAAGCCTGCAGTGCCTACTGTACCCAAAACTCTAAAACCACACAGAGCAGAAAATAGTAAATAGAGCAGAGAAAGCTTTTTGAAGAGGCTGTTAAAAGCTCAACATATTCTCTAATTATAGATCTCACTTGCTCTCTTTTGAAGAGAACTGTAAATGGGAAAACGGCAAAGTTTTAGATTACTACAAGTAAAAATGAGGAAAAGCGGCCCTTTGCGGTCCACATTGCAGCAGTATAGGGGCGTTTATACCTCCCCTCTCATTTCACTTAAATGTAAAACATAAAGCACTGATGAACACTAAGAAATAAAGGAATAGTTCACTTAAAGACTTACACCAGTAACACCATGTGTAAAATGAGAGGGGAAGGAAATGAAAGTGTGATAGGTTGCCACGTGTAACACATTTATCTTAAAGGCATTATTGCTTACATTTCATAGATAGAGAGAGAGATACAGTATATAGATAGAGAGCAGGTGTTGTAATTCTGTGAAACGTTGCGCTCAGTCTGAGGTTATAGGTTTATATGAGCACAATCCTGTAGGAGTGTAAACTTCTGCATGTAGCAGCCTTTGTTCTTCTATACTCACACCCCTTCTGGAATAAAAAAATAAAGGGATGAAGGTCAGTTGGAGAGCAGACTGCCAAATATAGCCGCTGTGTTCATGTGAGGGCCAGACTCTCCAGAACGACAAGCCCTGCTCTGACCATGCCCTGTAATTGAGGAGAAAATAAGGAAAGAAATTATATGTTTATTTTTGACAACAATTTTAATCTTCTGTGCTCTCCTTCAGAAAATGAGACGCCCACAAAAAGGCGCTGAGAATCTGTCTTAGTCGAGACTGAAAGTTGAGTTCTTGTCTTTTTCAACCCTTAATGAAATTCTAAAATGAACATGCCTTTTCACCTGATAAACCTGACAGACAATTACAGTAAATAACTAAATATATTGAAATGTATCATCAGTTTCTAAACATAACATACTTAAATGATGAATGAAGGCATATTAAAAAGGATTATTTAAAAAAAAGTCTTACTAAATGTAGATTTATTTCTATTTTCTCTTCAAATAGGCATTCAATAGTCATTTTTTCTGTGAAAAGTTGATGCTTTTTTTTCTCATTAATATGTTCATTGTGACAGTGGGTTTTACACAGAACTGTTTAAAATGAATGCATTTTATGACCACATGACTACATGCTTATTCCCACTGTGATGTGTATGAATATCTGATATATGTAAATATATGCAATAAGAAACTGTGCCAGCCAATAAAAAAGCTAAACTTTGGTGGGTTTGTCTTACTGCATTGTTGAATGTAATAATTTTGTATTTAAGAAAAATAAAAGATTATTATTAAATTATTATCAGGAGTATTTGATAAACCCAAAGTTTTAGAATGAATCAACATGGAGTTAAGATTCTTGTTGTGATATTAAAATGGTTTACAGTAAATTTAACAGGCAAAGAGACCACTGTCATTAGCTGCATGTAAGCTAAAGTTTGGGGACCCAACTTTAAATTGGTAAGTCTAAATAAGACCAAAACATTTCACATTTTCATATTTTCCACTGAAAGATTTTTATTCCAGACTCGAAAATCAATAATGGCAGAAAGTTATTTGGACCATTTTGAAACACCACTTTGGCAAAACTTTCTGTCAGCTCTCCTCTTTCATTTCCCTCTCTTTTTTTAATCAAACGTTTTATTTGAGGAATTCATCTTTGCGGGTCCCCCCACCCCTCCAAACCCCCTCGTGAATTCGCCGTTCATTTCATTTAATTTGATGCGATAATCTCTTCTTTATTTTATTTAATGACTCGATCCTTTTCTTCTTCGCTTGTCTCTGTAGTTCAGTCACTTTAACCATCACATTTAATGTCTAAAAAGGCAGTTAACTGCATTTAAGAATATTGGAAACAGAGAGAGGGTTGAAACCAGAATAATAAAATCTCGGATGGAAACCACAGACTCGGTCAGCTTAATTTTTTCTGATTTATGTGGCGTGGGCCGAGGCTACATGTTCTTTTGTTATTTTTCCTCTTTTACAGGAAAACGGGAAAGACCTTTAGTCTGGTTTTCACTTATTATTTACAGTGATGTGTCTCTAGTAGCATAAATTTACAGCATTATCTTTGCGAAGAAATCCGGCGAGATAATTCTCGGTGCCTTATCCCTTTCCCCCCCTCAGACTCCACTGGACTAATCCCAGTGGAAAAAAAATAATGCCAGAAATTGAAACAATGTCCACATGGTGATTGATGAGTGACCCATTCATGCATTTGTCTTGAAAAATGATTCGACACTCTCCGTTTGGGATGGTGGGATGTCCTCTCTCTATCCACCAATCTCCGTCCATTCCTCTCCATCTCTCGGTTTTTATTGCCTCTAAGCGAGTCTTCAAAGAGCCTGTAGCCTGTAATTAGGGGGCGGGCTCCCCGTGCCTCAAAACACTTCCCCGCGTTAGTGCCCAAGTTCTCCCAAACTGTCCCGGGACTCAGAGCTGCGCTTCTCCCGCTCCCCTCAGCTTCCTTAGGATTTTGTTTCTCAGGGATGGCCGCATCTATTCTGGAGGTAGGGAATGTAATTGTAAGTCGATTTTTCTTCTTCTTTTCTTTCATACAAGCTAAACTTTTTATGATGTGAATGCTATTGAAATTCCAGATTACGTTTAGCCTATATTTTCAAGTCTGGTAGTTGTTAGACGGCATGAGGAAACCTAGAACAGTTTAGTTTGTGGGTTGAAGAATAATATATGGCTAAATATAAATCTATAATGTGCATTAATGACTTAACTTAAGTTGCTTTAAATCACCATTAAGACCTAAGGGTGAGCTGCTGACAGTTTGGCTCAGACTACCATGAAAAAAATTAAAAAGATAATGTAATAACAATCTCAGGTGGCCATGAGAAGCTGTACAGTTGGCAGTGGATGGAGCAAGAAATTAAGAGGACTGCAGGCATTATAGGAATAATAAAAGACTGTGATGAATCATTAATAACCTGAAAACTGGCTGCTTGTTGGAAGAGATGAATGGAGAGTTAGTCTGAATGAATTGTAATAGGTTATATGCTATACAAAGAGATGTAGTGCACCTGGACTGAAAGACAACATATTTATTCCCTATAGGATTTTCACAATAGTCTTATAATTATACCACAACAAGTAACACATCATTTATAGTAACATCAGTAAACTCACCATTACATATTGCCCAAATACTATAAAGTTCTATAGAAATATTACAGGAATATATTAGTAATTTTTTATTATTACAGTTTTATCCATGTGTACAGTGTGTGGTTACAATAGAAAGACCGACCTGATATGTTGGTGCTAGTTAGCTGCCACATGGGAAAGGGAAATACTCGAAAAAGTATTACATGAAATAGTTTGCATGTATACCAGAGAATTAGTTCACTTCAAAAGTAGGAAATGTTTTGATTCCTAAAAGGGCCAGTGGAGTTTCTGAATGTTTACATGAAATGGCATGTCATAAATTGACAATCAACATGATGATAAACAGAAACAATAGAACGTGCAAATCTGAAAGAAAATAAAACAGAACAATGGTGAGACCATTGTGACGCAATGTACAATTAGTGTGTCTAACATCTCCAATGACATGGTAATCATTAAAGGAAAAATAAAACACACCTGACAAGGTATGTGTGTCCTGTTATAAGAGGGACACAGTTACAGTTAGTATAGCATCTATACATGATTACACAATGTATGTTTATATATGTTGGGGACTGTGAAGACAAAACTTTAAAGCAAATATGAATGCAAAATTAAGAATAGCTTGTAGATAGTGGGTTAGTGAAACAAAAGTCAGGGACTCCGTCCTTTGCTGAGCAGAGCCGAACTTATAGAAGCATAAACATTCACTGCTTGAAATTGCCCTGACCACTTTGAAAACGGAGAGAGCAGGAAAAGCCAGCGGTGGCAGTCAGACATAAGTTTTTTATTAGAGTTGACACTGACAGAAGCAGCGGCAGCAAGCAGCCATTTCCTGCAGACAGTCTCATTTTCTCCCATGTCTCCTCCTCTCCAGGAAGACACACGCTATGGCTCCAGTCCTCTGGCTATGTTAACTGCTACATGTAACAAGTTTGGCAGCACAAGCCCCATCAGGGATTCTGCTACACCCGGTAAGACTGGTAGCACTACTCCAGTAAAGAAGTCCTACACCATGACCTCCGACCTTCAGACAGCTAAGAACGGGCGGACCGCAGACGGCAGTGGCCTGGCGGACTCCTACACTGGCTCCTTCACCACAGCTGGAGGAGGCGGTGGCGGGCTGCTTACCCCGACTGGAAGCCCCCCTCCTTCAGCCGGAGGCTACACTACAGAATATAACCCTTTCTCCCACTCCTTCCAGACCTCTGTCTCCCAGGACCCGTCTCTTTTAGTGTCCAAGGCCCATGCTACAGCCGATTGCCTCACCAGTGTCTATACCTCCCTGGATATGACACACCCCTATGGCTCCTGGTATAAAGCCGGTATCCACCCTGGCATTACTACTGCTCCAGCTAATGCCACATCCTCCTGGTGGGATGTCCACCCCAACTCCAACTGGCTGTCAGCAACCCAGCCCCAGTCGGACGGAGGTCTCCAGGCCTCCTTGCAGCCTGTAGCACCCCAGGCCTCCCTTAGCCCACAGCTGCCCAGTTACAGCACCGACTTTACACAACTCAACCCAGCTCCTTACCCTTCCGTGGGACTGGGCTCCTCCTCACATCTTCTCCAGCCCTCACAGCACATGCTGCCCCAGGACATGTATAAGCCCAAGCCTGTGCCAAGTGCAGGGCTGATTGAGAGTCCCATGGGCCTAAAGCCAGCTAGGGGATCAGGGGGCTACAGTGGAGGGGGCGCGCCCACCAGGTCCTCATGTGACTGCCCCAACTGCCAGGAGCTGGAGAGGCTGGGGGCCTCAGCTGCATCACTGAGGAAGAAGCCGGTCCACAGTTGCCACATCCCAGGCTGTGGGAAGGTGTATGGCAAGGCCTCCCACCTCAAAGCCCACCTGCGCTGGCACACTGGCGAGAGGCCCTTTGTTTGCAACTGGCTGTTCTGCGGGAAGCGCTTCACCCGCTCGGACGAACTGGAGAGGCATGTGCGCACCCACACGCGGGAGAAGAAGTTCACCTGTCTACTTTGCAACAAGCGTTTCACGCGCAGTGACCACCTCTCAAAGCACCAGAAGACCCATGCGGATTCTGCAATGCAGGGGAAAGCTGTAGCTGTGGAGGGAGACACAGATCCTCGGAGTGAAGAGACCACAGAGCTTAACACCGGCGCTGTACCCACCAATCCTGTGACAGACCAAATCACCAACGGAGATGAGAAGACTGGCACACCTAATGGAGTGGAGAACAGCAGTGGACTGTTGGAGATTTAACTTCATTAAGTCTTCTATCTAATACTATTTTGAGACATGGTGGGTTTGTTTTTTATGGTGACAAATTCACCTTTTAAAGAAAAAAAAAGACAGTATTTTGTGTCAAGACATACAAAGGATATCAGACCATGTTTGAAAAGACTTGATATGATAAATGACTGAACATGTTGCAGGTAGCAGTCACTTCATTTTATCTGGACCAAACACACACACACACACACACACACACACACACACAAGCAAATATGAGCAAGCCTGCAAACATACACCTATGCACAAATGTATGCAGACAGACAAACACGCACACACACACACACACACACACACACAAATAAAAGTAACCAAGCCAGGATGTACATGAACACAAATATGACATGCGCATGTGCACATACACATGCACAGAAATAACTATGCAAATGTGCAAGCATATATAATGCATCTATGCATGCACACACACACACACACACATACAAGTAAACACACCCATGCACACATTTTGTAGCCTATAGACATTTTCTGCCTTTCAAATGAGACAAACCACTGGGGAAATTTAATCTGCAAAAGCAGAAGGAAAAGAGCTCTGAAGCCACAAGAGGAAAGTAGTTTTAGAAGGAGACTCATGGTTAGAATGATGGAGTTGAGGGAGCATTGCATGCCTACAGAAAAATCTGATTTACAGCTGTTCTTTGATACTTATTAATTATTCTTGAAACAATCAATGGACAGTGTTACTTACTGCTTCTTGTTGCCGAAGACATTTTTTATGTAAAAAGTTTTTGCATTTTACTTTTGTTTGCTGTTTGCTTCTTGTCTAATTTAATTCCATATTTACATAAATAATCTAATTTATGTCTTAAATTATACGCATGGAAAATTATCTTGGACCCTGCAGGAAATATAATTCCTGAAATAACGCAAGGTGGTTGAAGCTGGCCAAAAAGAAAAGAAAATGCATTAAATTAAGATTTTTTTTCTTATTTATTAGTTATAAGGTGGAGTTTGGGGCTATGTTTTTAAAGATTTATTTATAGATCTTGAAGTTAGATGTGCGTGTAAACTATTTCTATATAATCTTTTAATTGTGAAGTCTTCCACACCTGGCAAAGTAATGATTAATAAGGGCTCCTCCTTGTTTGTACATACTATATATTTACAACCGTATATAGATATTGTTAGGTGTGTTATTTTTGTACTTTTTTTAAATGTATGATATATGTTTTGTGTAACTTTTGACATTGAAAAATATCTCTCTATGTTGCATCAGTTAAAACAAACCTAAACATTAGAGCTTAATTTGTTGATCATGTTGTTGTTACTTATGGTAGAATTTAACTACCACTGTTTACTGATTTGTTGTGAAAAAAAGGTATAGTATACTGTAAAAAGTGATAAAGCATTAAACCTTGTAAAAGGTAAACATGTTGTAAAAGTTGTGGTGTGGAATCATGACAATTTTGGTGCTTTTAAAAGTAAAGAAATTTCAAACGCATTCTTCTTCACTGGTGTTATTCGTACGCAAAGGTGTTTCAAGATGCAAAAATTTTAAGGCAGCCGTTCCTTGAGCCTGAAGCTCACTCCTGCACACTTCATTCCCTCCTCTCCTCGCTCACTGTCGTTCTTTTCATATCTTACTATATTTCCACCTTCACCATGGCCAACCAAATACTTTCATTATCTTTTGCAGCACAAACAAAGCCGTCCACTGAAGTGAAGCCTTAACTCCACACAATGACCCCCTTTCAGAGAGCCACTGTAGTTACACTCAAGACAATTACTCCACTCTCCAGCTTGAGAGGGGTAATTACTGAGAGCGATGCTCCAGCAGAGTCAGTAGAGAGGAGAAGAGGGGATTAGGACAGGGGAGCTGTGGTTGTATTGTTTATTGAGGGAGGCGGTCAAACAAAGGAGCCCAATTAAGGCAGGATGCAGGATGAAAGATGTGATGTGGAGATACGAATGCAGAGGACACGCTGGTCTGACCATCACGCCTATTTTACTGTCTGAAATGTCCAATGTGAGACCGCGCTGCCACTGTAGATGACATTTTCTTCAAGTTTAAGTCAAGACAAGTGGCACTCGTGTCTTTCTGTCCAGTTTTTTGTCAGGCCATTCAGGCTATAGTGCAGACTAATAAAAATACTTGAGGTGGGTGGACTACCCACTCTGCCTCAAGAAAGACTAAATGAAGCTTACAACATGTGCATTGAGTACTATAATAGAATTATAAAGAATCTTTGTTATCTTGGTTAACAGGTGGTGGTTGAAATAGATGATAAACATGTAAAACAATTTCAGAAATATGTTAAAATCCTTGTCCCCAACATCCGTCTAAAACTAATCATTTTACCAGTCTTTACAAAAGAGAAAACGCAATGGATAACAACCTTTTTTATATATATAAAAGTAAGGAGTTTCATTACAGAGGTGACAACCTGTGCAGCTGGAACCCCCCTGAAGCTACTGACTCTCCTGTTGTAACATTTACACTTCCCAGGCTGTATGGTTCCAATTTAGGGCTTCTAATGAGCTGTAGTTGAGGTCAATTTATATAAAACGTCCCGGGGCTGACTCTGTCATCAGGGACCGACATGTTTGTGGTGGTCTGAAGTGGGAGCACGGTCGAGTCCACAACATAAAAGGCAAACAGGGGGGAATGGGATATGGGTAGGGTGTGTCAGGCCAGCGGGCAAGGATGGGGGGTGGGGGGTTTAAGAAGACGGTCAGCGGCTTTTAAAACCTCTGCTGCTACTGGTATTCTCTGCCTTTTTAAAGCACATTCCCTCAGCAGTGGTGGTGGCATACTGTAGCCTTAACTCTATTTTTACTTCTTTTATTTAGAAAGCCAGGAAACATTAAGCGTCGCTTCAAATAAGGTCATAAAAAGAAAAATATACATGGAGTGACACACAGGGGCAAAAGAAGACGCTGGACAATCTGTTCCATATGGTTTGCCCTCATGCCCCTGTACTCATTTTACAGAATCAAATCACTGCAACACACAGACTTGTTAAAAATAAAAAGGTTATTCCAGACACACCTGTTAAAGCCATTACACAGCCCATTTCCGACCCAACTAACACAAAGAAACAATTTTAAAACATTCATTCAAGCAGTGTTTACTTTAGCCATAATTTCCACTTGATGAGCTACATAAACTTTTGCTTAATGAATAACACCAGGGAGTTTTCCGCTTTCTGAGATTTCAGCTGCTTAAAATGAGAGAACAACTCATCATGACATTTAGACCAAAATGCTAATGAAGCTCCTTTTCCTGTTATTATCTGGTCCTAAATGAATAGTCAAGTAAAACAATGGTCTGTGCTCTGACATGGCACTAAACCCTACCAATGAGTGCAGGGCGGGGGGGTTTTCGGAGCCATAATGCAGGACAAAAGCACAGGTGTCTGCAGGTGTGACTGGGCCTTTGTGGCAGAGCGGGGGGAGAAAGGGACAAGAATGTAAGCGCGCCCTGAAGCTCAGCAGTTAGGCCATAAGTAAAAACAAGATAAGGCTTTTTGGCAAAGGGGAAAAGGTAAACTGACCTGAGAGAACCATAACATGACCTGAAAGGTAGAGGAGGTCAGGCTATATAAAACAGGAGATGAAGAGGGAAACATAACAGATAAGAGAGGGCAAGAGGTAAAAAGGTCAGGCTATCTTGCAACTGTACCATATGCCATATGTGCATATCATTTTGAGCCATCATTTATATTTGTCAGGAATAGATACAGCAGCATGTTACAAAACAGCACAATAGATGTGTCTCTGTGATTAGGTGTTTTTTTCATTTATGCTGTAAACGTAGTACGCACTGTGCCAACATGCCTTTGAGTCCAGCTGATGCAACAGTCTTGTATCTTGCAGCACTGCGTCCTATCTCTCCTCACCGAATCATTATTACACTGGTGATGGAGATCAGAGCCCCCCCTCCCTCTCACTTCTGAAAAAACAAACAGCAGTCTGTGTGCCTTGCATCATCAAACTTGGGATTGCTTTTCAGATTTCCAACTCTAACCATACAATGTACATAGCATTTTTTAGCCTAGAACTACCTTTAAAGTTTAAAGGGAGTCCTCCCTTACTGCCCAATGTGCCAAATACAGCACTAAATGATGCCATTTTGTTTATAGGAACTGTGGGAGGGTTGTGGGTGACTCTGTGCCCCTTTAAAAAGATAATATGCTTCCCATTTAATGGCCTCCGGATGACAAATTGCTTCCAGGGGAAAATTAAGTTACGAAAATTGCATGTGTGATACGTAAAGACATATCCACTCTACTTAGGATGTTTGACATCCATAATTCAATTATACACAGCAGTAGGTGCAGTTAGGTTTTTTTAATAACCACATTTGCCCATAAGGCATGAATAAAGTAAATTATTTGGCTCCTTATCAGTGATCACAACTATTTCTCATCATGTAACATTAATGTACATTTACTAATCATTACAATTGATTAATTGTAAATTTTTTCACTGATAAGAAGAATAGCCATATCTCTTGGAGATTGTTGGAAAAACAGTAATCCCGACTAAAACCTAATACCCTTACAAATATCTAGAGTGCCCATAAACTGTTCTTTCCTCTTGAAAAGGCTTACTATCTTGTTGGTATTCTGACTAGCCCAAACCATTCTTGTTTGCTTTTTTTTTTGTACGTTCAAGCCACTAAATACTTCCTTGGAACATTTTAAGTGAAGGGATTTCAGAGAGACAGCGCAGAAAAGGGGTGGTGGATATCTAAAAACACTAAATCCTCTGGGGAAAAGGTAGAGAAAACACAATCAGGAAGACCTGCCACTAAAAGTACAGCAGTAAGTGAGAAAAGAGAAGGCCGGCCAAATAGCAAATTAATCTGGATTTGGATCAACTGAATGAGGAAACTGAAGAAGGAAAAAGAGTCAAGGAGGAAGGAGGGAGAAGAGAGAGACAGTAAGACAGACAGACACAGAGAGAGAGAGAGAGAGAGAGAGTCAAAATGCAGAAAAAGAACCGAGTGATTTGGGTTGGAAGCAGGAGCAGGGAGCCAGGGTTGGCAGGGTTTTGGTGGAGGAGTGTGGTGGTTCAGAAGTCCTCCAGCGCGAGGCGCCAGTGTGTCCGGCGGGGGCCCTGACCATGAGCTGCCTCACCCCCCCAGAGCCATGGCCACAAACCCCCTTCCCCCCTTCACCACCAGCACCGCCACCCATCCAACCCAAAACCCACTGGCAGGCAGCGCTTCACTGAAGCTGCTGCTGCATGTTTATTTAATATTCTGAAGAAATTGAAATATCTCTGTGGGTTAACGCACATACATACACAATTACATATCACTCACCCGCACACACGCATACATGCACTCATACGTTCACACACATCACCACCACAATATATAAATAAATAAAGTAGAGTAATAACGTTCTCTTGATCTGTGGCCAAGGATAGAGAGTCGGAGAAAATCTTTTTCAAATGGTGTTTTCAGAAGTGTAGAGGGAGGAGCGTGAACGTCTGACACTGCATGTTGCCTGAGCAGGCAGCATGTCTCCGCATGACTCCCACAGAGGAGAGAGAACACCACCAGAGTGGTTGACAAACAAGAAATAGTTCCCATGTGACAGGAACAGAGTGAGTTTGAAAAATAAATAAGGCCAAACAGTTACTAGCAAGAAACTAAAGAGACAGCTAGGTTTTGAAAGTATCCAGCCGACAAAACAATCCCACCCCCTCCCTTCAGACCTCCCTCCAAAAAACACATTTTTATACCCAATGAATGGCAAGCAGAGTGCACCTAGGTAGGTAGACAGGCAAGTAGGCCAGCCAATCATTTCATGTGGACCGAATAAAATGATGAAAGGATTGGCGCTGCGACAGCCACAGATACCGGATTTTTGTGTCAGAGCATTTAATTTACTGATTGCCGTCGGGATGTAAAGAGATTTTTAACAGAACAAAAATGAATTGTCTTCTCTGGCTTTAAATTTGCTGGTTTAAAGGTAAATAATACTTCCATCATACAATGATTCCATAAAAACAAAACCCTAAGCATTTGACATGTTAAGCAATTTAACAACTCTGAGTGTGTGGTCTGTGAATGAGAACATGTATATGAGGTGTTTGTGAAGTGTTAAATGAACGAATGTGCATGCCAGCCTTTTTCTGTGTGTCTGTGTGTGTGTGTATCCATGCATGAGTGCACACACGCACACATCCATAATGAGTCTCTGATCATTACAAAGCAATTCCTGCAGACAGAAATCCCTTAAACAGCCTCGGTTTTGGGCTTCATGCTATCCCCCTCCTGTCTCCTCTCTCCTCAACAGCCACCAACCACTGCTGCTGCCAAAAATAACACAGGAGCGCCACTCGAACCCGCGCCTCACCACAGCACAGCTTGGCCGCAAGAGAGGGATCAAAACACACACAAAAAAGGAAACACATCATATTGTGGAAGGAGGGAAAAAGAGCATTCATACAGCTCCATGCTTTAAGATATCTACTGATGATTTTGGCAACCAGAGAACCACACATATAATGCACCAGGCCAAGACAGGGAAAAGGAAAGTATGTTTGTGTCTATGTGTGCATGCATTTTGGATGTACTCTAACTACTAAAATGGTATTCATGTCTGATCTCATTCAGTCAGTGATTCAACCACGAACTCAATAAAAGCACTTTCATTATCACGTTATAGGTCAATAAATTAGGGCTTTAAACTGACAAATGAAGGCTTAGCGAACAAAGCAAATTAACGCTTAAAGTATGAGTAATGTGCAGGAGGGGTATACTCTGGTCACAGATAAATCATGGCGCTTTGATTGTAGGTTTGGGAGTTCAAATGGGAAACGACTTTATTCATTGTCATGGCCAGTTCACTTTGTGTTGCACTTGGCAAAATGTGCTTATCCACACTGACACACGGATGCCAGTGAATGAAGCCGTCAGAGTCCAAGCCCCATTTCAACGTTAGCCAGCAGGGGTTTACTAGCAAACCATCATGGGATTAATTCTTCAGCCACCGAAATAAAGGAAATGATGGAAAGGTGGAAAATACACTGAAATATTTTATGGAAGTGCAGCTACATTAGTTGGGCAGGAGGTTCTGAACTTGTGGGTCCAAAGGATTTTAAAGGTCTGCACAACTCCTCTGGGTATTCACCAAGGCAAAAGGGATCAAAACTCAGCATAGAAACTCAGTCGGTCTCTGGTCTTATTCTATAATTAATTTCATTACCATCACTTTTTAGATAATAAATAAATGCAACATTCCTCCACACACACACAACACATACTAAAGAATAAAGTTTGGTCATGCATGTAGGCTACATAGGCCTACTGTCTTTTCAATAGACTCTTACTTTTATATACTTTTTTTCATTGTGTTGTATTTTGTTTTACACTGTGTTGCACCACTTAGATAGATAGATAGATAGATAGATAGATAGATAGATAGATAGATAGATAGATTTTTTTAGGCATCCAGTTGATTATATGACACATAAAAAATACCATTACCACAAAAGAAGATAAGAATAAAAACACAACCAGTGTCTTGTCCTGTGTTTTCGTGTTGGTCTGTAGTGGAGATGACAGGTGCCAGGCTACACGAGGCCCCAGAGCACCAACAAAGCCCCGACAGAGAGGCTTGTCAGAGGGGCAGATCAGTGACTGACTGTCGCCCCCTTCTGGTTCCGTTTAGTCACAGCAAAGTGTTGCACAGGGCCAGAATGCAATAAAAGTTGTCAAGCATAACGCTCTCTCGATAATTGCTCACACGCAGAACAAAACGAGGCTGAAACAGCAAACATTTGCTCAGGTACAGTTGGTGCTGGCACTTAACTTTACTTGAGTATTTACTTTTTCTGGTACTTTTTCCATCAGCAGTCAAGACAACTGCAGTTTGAAGACTTAAGCTAGCTGGCTGGCTAGGTAGCTGCAAAGATAACGTTTCCTTTGATTTTAATGCAGCAACTTAGCGTCAGTAATGTTGAACACCAGACCGTTTCCTTTTAAATAAGTTAATTTTACTGTAAGTTACTAAGTTAGCTAGGTAGCCTACGTGCATTGTAACCACGGTCTATGATTGTATCTTTATTTAGTGGTAATTTATGCACAATTTTAAATGGATGTGTTTTCACATTGTGGCAGATGTATTTTTTTCTACCATTGCTAATTAAAAGTCTCCAGTCTGTTTAATGTTCGTGACTATGCACCTGTTTCTGTTGCTGTGATGAAACAATCGTCCACGAGGTCGCTGATAAAAACCTGGATATTTGTGCTTTCCTTCCCCCGCACACTGTCTAAACCGCGTTGCGAAAAAAACTCATCTCGTCGGCGTTTTCCGGTGTGAAAAACGAGCGAACCCAAAGCGGCTTTCGGACCAATGACAATTCGAGTTTCGCGGGTATCCGTCTTACGTCATCTTTGTGCTCCGAAAGGACTTCGCTGCTGCATCTGTCGGAGCCATCGGAGCGAAAGGGGGGCTTCCTCTGCTCTTCACATGTCGTCGTCCCCGCCGCCGCCGTATCGTCTGTCTGGGAAAATACCGTCAAATGAGAGCAAGTGTCTGTTTTGGTGGGGGGATTAACCATCCGGAACCGATCGGCTCTGTCTGCGTGAAATAGGGAATGAACGACGAGACAGCATCGGACAGCTGGAAGAGAAACTCTGGGTGCTCCAGGTGAAGCTGCACAGAAGCTAAGCTAGCATAGCACAATGGCTAGTGTGGAGCCAGTCTGATAATTCGTGCATCTTGTTAATGGATTATTTTGAGCGTCTGCCACAACAAACAAGCTGGTATTAACCCGACATGTCGTTTCTACACATTCAGATAGCTTAAAAGTGCCGGATGAGTGACTGAAATAAACAGTTGCCAAACTTGTTTTTACTGTCATTGAATAAACTTCCATCTAGACATGTATGAACCGTTTTGTTTTCTCAGAATCAGCTTTATTGCCAGGTATGTGTACACATACGAGGAATTTGACTCTGGATTGTACATTGCTCACGATGTGCTTACTCGTACAAAAATACAAAATCCCAATAATAAAAATAAAATAAGACAGACTTAAGTGTAGACAAAACAAATATACACACTATGAACAAAAACAATATAGACATTAACAAATAGTGCCGTGAGCAGAGTGCAAAGGATGCAGGAGTATGTACATGTCGGGGGTGGGTGTGATATATAGGTACATATGTACACAGTGCAATGAAGCATAGTGCAAAGGATGCTGGAATAAATAAGTATATCGTGCAGGAGTAATGACTTGAGGTAGGTGGATTTGGTATATGTGCTTGCTAATAACCTATAAGACCTGTAAGCGGAAAGTTTCAGCAATAAGAATACACTTTATTGATATGGCATTTTATAACACTGTAAATAATGTACAAGGTTCTGATTATAGTTTATTAGGTACAGCTAGCTTCAACTAATGTTATTTAACTCACCATGATTAATTAAACTGATTAAAATTACTTTATAACTCACTTTTATCCTGATTTTATTATGTTACTTTGTTATTTTATATATTTTGCTTTTTATATTGCCATCCCTGAGAGCTGCTAAGCTTGTTTCGTTTTTTTAAAACAATGACAATAAAGATCTGTTCTATTCTGTAATAGAAACCCTGTTCAGTATAACAAGGTACAGGGTAGAATTATTTGTCACATTACAACAGGTTGTAAAGTGAAAATTAGTCTGTAACTACCTTCTGCTACGTAGCAGACAAAATACAGTAATACAAAAGCAATCATACAAATGGTAGACGGAAATAAGTTATATTCAGTGGAACAGTGCTGAGGATGAATTTGAGTGTAAAAGTTAACGCTATACAGTTCAACAGCACTATAAACTGCAGCTTCCAAAATGACCAACACCTCTCTTAAAAAGTTTCACCAAAAACAACTTTACAACTTTAATGCATTTAAGACTTATTGCAGGATTTCTGTGTTAAACTGCATTAGGTTTAGTATGTGTACTTAATAAACTGGCAACCGAGTGTAGGTGCGACCATGTAGGTCTGACTGATACTTGTAACATTGCATCCTCTGGTTTCTCAGGATTGTTTTTCCATGTGTTCTTATATACTTTAGCTTTTTGTATGAATGAAATAATCACACTTGAAAAATTATTACTGTGAGTTAATCAAACATCTGTCCTTGTGGTATACAGTCACGCTGATAGTTTTTGATTTGATTCGCTTACGTTTTTGTGTTTTCTACTTCTGTTGGCACGATATAAATGAGTTAAAGGGAATTTTAGTTTATGTTTCACAATGAGTTTTATAGTTTTAAGTAAGCTGGACATTGTGTCTGGTAAGATGCATTGCAATTCAGTGGTGACCTTTTGTAATTTGGGTTAAGTGACCCTTTAATTTGGCTAGCTTTAGTTCAGAAGAAGAATGTACATGTACAATGTTGTCATAGCAAACAAAAAGAGGAGAATACATTTCTCATGCAGAAATCTGCAAAATGTTTTTTTTTTAAATGTATGAATGACACAGTTTCCTAAAGCCCTTTGCAAATGAATCAACACTTTCTTCTCACGCTGGGTTTTTCTTTTGTTTAGTATTGAGCAAATGCTGGCTGTGAATCCCGGAAAGACGCCCATCAGTCTGCTGCAGGAGTATGGAACGCGGATAGGCAAGACCCCAGTGTATGACCTGCTGAAGGCCGAGGGACAGGCCCACCAGCCCAACTTCACGTTCCGCGTCTCCGTCGGAGAGATCAGCTGCACCGGCCAAGGGCCCAGCAAGAAGGCAGCCAAGCACAAAGCAGCCGAGGCTGCTCTGAAGATGCTCAAGGGAGGCCTCGGAGGTCCCGCTGGAGTTGGTGTTGGAGTAGACGGGTTTATTGGGGTTGACGTGTCTGCTGATGGAGACAGGTCAGTTTCAGCTTTTTAGTAAATTCTTTACACCGGCACTGAAGTTAAAATGATAGACAGCCACATGTAGAGTCTGCATCAGCAGAAGTTAGCTGATTAAAACATCCAAGTACTAAATATATCTAATATCTTGTCCAAGCATTAAACAAATGTGAGGTAGAGGTCTGTGTGGTTTCATTAGTTTCTCTTATGTGTTTGTCTTATCTCGTCTTCTGTACAGCTCCCAGTCAGAGATGAAGACCTCAGGCAGTTCTCAGCAGTCTGAATGTAACCCTGTAGGAGCTCTGCAGGTGAATAAACAAAGAGAACTACAGTTGATGAAGGTTATGTTTTACAGCTTGACTGTCTGCGAATACATGCTTTCATTGTGTAGTTAGTCCCAGTTTTGTGTTATTAACAGTATCTGCATAGTTTATAGTATTTGTTTGTTTACTTCTCTGCCAGGAATTGGTGGTACAGAAAGGATGGCGTTTGCCAGAGTACACAGTCACCCAGGAGTCTGGTCCAGCGCACCGCAAAGAGTTCACAATGACCTGCAGAGTTGAGAGATTTGTCGAAATCGGTAAAATGCATAATGTTTCATTCTGTAGAGATTGTACTGCGTGTATTTACAGATTTTGTCTCTGGCGTAGATCAAATCAATTTTTTATAATATGTACATTTTATTAACATGTCATATTTACACTGTGCTCAGAAATACCATGAAGTTGGCCGTCAATTATTAAACATTTAAACACTAAAGCTTAGAAAACAGCTCATTGAAGCTCAAGAACATCATATGTTGTGCCTTTACAGGGGTGCAGAGTAATTCCTGACCTTCATTGATCTAAACTCACAACACGTGAATTGCAAGAGCATTGAACAGTTTCAGAAATATTAACGTCCCATTTAACAAGATGTGGATCTGGCTACCTGGCTGTTCATGCTTATCAAAGTCTTACTGAATGAATATCAGCGGTCATTACTTGTGCAATATTACTCATTATTACTCAGTCTCCTGTTCCTCTCCAGGAAGTGGAACCTCAAAGAAGCTAGCCAAGAGAAATGCAGCAGCCAAGATGTTGTCGCGTATACACGACGTCCCAGTCGACCTGAGGACCAGCAACGACGCTGACACAGAAGATGACACTTTCACCATGGTAAGAAATCCACTTTCTCTGTGCTCCAGTCAGTGAAGAGCCTGCAAGTTATACCATTTGGCACATCACAGAAATGGATGCACACCACTGCATAACATGTAAATAACACTGCAGTACTTCCTACATTCTCAGTTTTGTTCCCTTAATATCATGCAAATATTGTATTTGCGTTACATAATGTTTAATAATGTCTGTCATTTCCAGTTGTTTGCCCTTCAGACGTTATGCAGGACACTATAAGCTTGGCTCCTGACACCCAATTACCTGCTTTCGTACTTATAAATCTTGCTGGCAGATAATAATAGTGTTTATTAACTACTTTGAACATCATCTCCCCTGCACACACAGCACATGGGAAGCAGAGCTGAGTCGGGCAAAAGCAAAGGCTTCAGCTGCACGTGGGACTCCCTGCGTAACTCTGCTGGAGAGAAGATCCTCCATCTCCGCAGCCACCCTCTGGGCATGCCGTCTGACTCCAACTTCTGCTCTTTGCTGAGCGACCTGTCAGCAGAGCAGCGCTTTGACGTCAGCTACCTTGATCTAGGTGAGTTCACAAACATTACAATTACATTCACGTCCGCGGAGGAGAGTTTAACATTGAAAGGTTAAGAAGAAATGTGGAGTCAATGGACATCACAGGCCACATGCATGAAGAGCTGCATTTTATATGAGCATGTAGATATAATAAATGAGTTGAGCTTACACTTTACATATGATAAACTTCATTAGGGTGCAGATTTTTCTCATCTGGTTTACACCATCTGCACCAACTGAGATTGTTCCAGCATTGTGGGTACATTTTGATGGCAGCGTACCACAAAACAAATGGATTGCTGTGTGGTTACTATTACTATCATTATAGATGGAGGAAGTAGCCCGCAGCTGCACAGATGGACCAGAATTTTAAGGCGACAGGTTTACGTGTGGCATATTGTGCTGGATTTACTGGTTGAGTTACTGATATTTATTTGTGCTGGATTTTGTTGAGGAGCCAGCACCCAGTAAATTTGATTTTAAGTTCATATCATTTATCTAATAAATACATATTAATAAATTGTAATTCTATCAAGTAGTAATGCAAAATATTTGATGGTTAGATTTATACAGTGGCTTTTTCTCATCTCAGTTTTCTAAAATTAAAACTTGTGATGAGTAACTCTCATTGTTTTACCTTCTACAAAGAATATGTCTGATCAAATGATCACACTTGTATTAATTTATATGAAAATAATCAGTTGTGACAGCCAAAGTATTAAATGTTCAAACATTAAACATATAGCTGGAATCTGGGTTACTTTATGCATATAAATGTAGGCACTGGCACAGAGAGTGAGTATGGAAAATTGTCAAATCCCCTCATCAGATTTATGAGTTGATATCTGTCAGTGAAATATTCTTGTCTTTTCTTGTTTCAGAGGAGCGTAGTCTGAGCGGCCTGTGCCAGTGTCTGGTGGAGCTGTCCACACAGCCAATCACAGTGTGCCACGGCTTCGCCCCGAGCATAGACGCCGCTCGAGCCAATGCAGCCCACAATGCACTGCAGTACCTCAAAATCATGGCTGGAGGGAAGTGACGTCATCCTCACAGACTCAAACTCGCAGCTGCACAGTGCCAGGATGAATTTCCACTTTGGACAAAGGATGCACTTTTGTGATGAGTTCAAATAACATGAATTACCTCAAATTTGGAAATAGAGACTTTTTCTGTCCCTGGGTGAACCCCTGGAGCCCTTTTTTGGTCACATGGATTTCTTATTATTGCCAATGAAGATTTAGCTTCCCAAAAACTCATGAACCCCCTCTCCTAGACATTTTGTGTATTTGTCAAATTATTTTAAAATGCTTTTGTTTGCTCAGTCTCCATGAGCAGCTCTTTATTTCCTTAAAAAGATCAAGTTTAAAAAGTCTTTATCTGAAATCATAAAAGGTGCTCTTGCAGTGAGTTCCCAAAATCCTGCAGACAAATTCTGACGCAAACGGTCAAAGGGGTTTGTAGAAATTGGGCAACGGAATCACCAATTATTGATGCATCGTTTAATTCCCGTTCACATGGATCTCAAGCCATGTGACGAAACATGGAGAGAAAAGGACTCTGCTGAATCAGTATCAGAGAATAATTGTGACTGCCTTGTTTTCAGATGAGCTCTTACTGAAAATGTAGCTTTTGTTGTTTAATTTGAACCCTAAAAACTCAAACAGTTTGTCTCTGTGATGTTTTTAATGTTGGGCCTTAAAGAGTGCAGTCAGTTGAAAATTACCATGTTATCTTTGCTACATTGTGAAATCAAATAAGGTTTAAAAATGTTGCAAATGAACCCTTTCTAATCATGTTACTCTTTAGCGTTCCAAAAGTAGGAACTGTGATAAGAACCAGATGCTGCTTTAAAATGTGCCATTTAGTCCTATAACTCGACTTCTAGCACACAGTAGTTGCACGAGGAGCTCTATTAATCCATCTGCAAGATGCTTTTCTGATTTGGGTGAAATAGGAAGTACTGCGAGTCTTCTGATGGAGCATTGTTGTCGTTCAATCATTAAACACACTAAAACCATTGTAGACCAGACAAACAAAGCTACCATAAATTCTTATGTGGAGTTTAAATGATATCCCTTAAGAATGTTTTTTGTGCTCATTATGACCAGTACTGTTTCATTTATAATTTAAACCCCTGTGAGATTTCTTTTTCTGTCAGTGCGAGTCCTTTAATGATATTAGAAAATAGATGAAGGTGATTTTCCAGGTTTCTCAAACTACCTGTTTTGTCTTAGTGTAAGGATTCATTGCTTACCTACCTTACTGTGTTTGTAAATTGGTTCATATACTGTCTTGCATTCATCTGACATGAGCATTGAAAACAGTACACAGTTTGCACTACTTAAAAATTTATTATGTCCTTTGCGCAATGCAGGCTGACCATGTTTCTGTACTCCCACTGGTACACAGTACAGAGTATTTTCTGTAACCTCATTCTGAGAAAAGGCAGATCTGTATATTGTTATTCTGATGACTGAAATAAGGAACTAATGGCTGGTTTTTAGTGAATTTTAAGTGCTGACACCATTGAGGTCAATGCTGACATCAATACATTTGAGATAGACTTCTTTCTTGTGGTAGTAGAAAGTAATTATTAATTAAAAAGTATGAGCTCTATGTCAAATTGACTCTGTTTCCAATAAAAACCTTTTTTGTAAATTTTACTGCCAGCTCCTTGTTGTAATAACTTGAACATGCTCTGATTCCTGATAGAATTACCATTCTAATAAAATATGATACACACAGTATTCATCAGAACAGTTTTATGTTTACTTATTTACAATATTCATTCAGTTTTCACTATTAGCACTGTGGAAAAACTTCTTCAGTGTAGGACCTCTAAAAGTTTCGCATGTGACCAAGTCTCTGACGGTACAATGATATCTTAATCTTCTGGGCCTGTTTGAATGGATGCCCTTGCTGGGAAGCACTATCCAAATCCTTAGTTGTAGAAGCTCAAATCTTCTGCGCAGAAATAAAGCCCACAAGCGAGAAGACATGAATTTCTGGGTTTTCTGTCATCTGCCATGTGTGCTTGATGAGGGGCTGACTTCTTCATCTGCGTAGCCACTGCTGTCTGACTGCACGCTGTCGCCCCGTATCACTTCACCTGCACAAGGACACAAACGCTGTCAGGCAGCAACTATGCCACTGCACAAATGCAGCTGCAGTCTGACCTGAATAGAGACACAGTGTTCCTAGTGACAGCCTACACCTGCACAATGACCTGTATACACATCTGCTCACACATAGTACATTCTTTTTCCACATAAATTTGTTTAAACTATTCAATTATTCACACATCAGACCTCAATACAATAACTACAGTGAGCCCAAAGTAAAATATTCAAGTTTAGCATGACATTTTGTACACACACAAATTTGTTTGTACATTTCTACAAACATCCCTGTGTAAACTTGAAGTGAAGGCACTCTGGTCATAGCACACTGTTACAGCGTTGACAGACAACACCCTTTCCTTCACACATTTATCACCATTTGAACTGAGTGGATGCTGTTTTTGTTGTGAATGGCGTCAGCAATTTGGTGACCACACAAACTGCCATTCAGTGTATTAGAAACAGCCATTTTGAAATGATTACTGCAATGTAGCAAAGTGACAGTTGTAACTACTGCCTTTGACCCCTAGTCACACAAAACATGTCACACAAATAAAATATAATTGTACTATACCTTTATATTGACGTTTTTTGGACAGCGGAGAGGTTGTTCTTCTCGATGTTTCTAAATGTCCAAAATCTTCCTCTCCTGCACTATGCACCTATGGAGAGAAAAGGTATGATGTATATGTTATATTCTGTTCTTCTATATATCTGTTTTGACTCTAGTATAATTAGGAAACAATATGTAGGTTATGAAAGGTTATCACAGTTAGGGCTAAACAATGTGCTGTTACACCATCAACATCACCCTGTATGTACGCTTGTGCACAGTCACATGGGACGCTATGGAATAATCTAAACTACAATATTTAAACCCATTTACTGATTGTCAGTGAGTCAGTGGTATCAGTTGTTCATGTTTCATTTCTAATCTTAAAGACAAACAGTCTAATACATCTGATGAATAACATAAGGTCATTTAGTCTGATCCAATCACAATGTGTTCATTGTCTTTGCTAGTATGCTTTGCCCGTGTGACAACTGACCAATCAAACTGATCAAAAGCATTCTGAGAGTTTAGCATACAAAACAGGCAATTTTAAAATCATCTCACTTAAAAATGCATCAAGAAAAGGTAGAAATTGTCTGAAAGCAAATACTTTGGGCTTGGGGCTATTTACTAACAATTCATTGATTTGACCATTACCCATAACAACACATCAAAGAGCCATGAATTATGATTACACAGCCAGAACCACACACGATCCACTGAGGAAAGAGCACATTTTTGATGCTTGCAAAGCTAGAATAATGGTTTAAACTGGACAATAATAACATTAAATCTCCAGTTTTCTGCTGAATTGCAGCTACACAAGATAAATACTACACATACATTCTTTGGAGAATTTTTTGTTAACATTACTATTTATATTGTAAAGAAACAAATATATATATCAATGTTATTTTTTCCACCATCATTCAGCCCTACATTAAATACATTCTGCATGTGTGCGGTACTACTATAACTAGCGTACCTCCTCAAGCTCAAAGGAGTTAACCTGTTGTAGGTTATTGGAGACATTCCCCGGGCCCTGATGTGCCAGTGGTTTCAGGTACTCCTTACATGACTGGGCAGGTGGGAAAGTTGGTGTATGACTGGAACCGGGTGCATTCAAGGAAGAGGAAGAGACATCGTCACCATCCCAGCCACTCACAGTGATGCAGCACTGGGTGGCCAGGACAGGAAGTGATCTGAATGCATCCAGCTGCCTGCCTTTCCCTGAAGAGGCATCATCAACTGTGTGTGAGTCCTCGTCAGGCTCAGAGACATCAGTTTGTATATGGGGTTCATGTGATACAGGACAGGGGCTATCTATGCTTTCAGTCTCAGAGGACATAGGTGGTAAAGTGCTTGTTTTTGGATTACATGTGTGTTGACAGCAGAAAGGCACCTGATGTACACTCTCGATTATCTGTGGGCAGATTAGATCATATGTAACCTTGGCAACTGGTTTCAGATCAGCAGTCTCTGTGTCACTTTGAGTTGAACACGAGTCCAGGTCTGGCTGACGTGAAAGAAACCGATAATCTGTTTCTATCACAGTTTCTCCTGATAATGATGACGCTATAGATGTTCTTACACTGTGAGTCCTGCTGTCAAGGTCTGCTGCCTCATCACTGTTTTCATCAGCATCAGCATTATCTGTTAGTTTACTGCCCTGCATCTCGTTATGACAGATTTCACTTCCATCTTGAGGGGTGTCGGCGTCAGCCACGGTCTCCTGTGTCTTCTCCTCTTTCCTGCTGTTACAGAATCTATCATCATCCGTGACCAGCCGAACATCCACAGCTGAATTACTCCTATTACATTCCCCCAAATCCAGTTTCTTGCTAGCCCCGGTCTTGACTTGGTCCAAAACTATATCCACAACATCGGGGAGGCTGGACCTTTTCCTGGGTGAGGGCTGCGGAGAGGTGGACTCTGACCCGCGGGGAGAGCCTGTGTAGAGACACATCTTGGAGACGGTGTCCTTCAGCCTCTCCACCGGAGAACGTGGCTCGCTGCGGACGCTGCTCCTGAAGCGTTCAATCCTCTCCACAGGCGAGGAGAAAGTGAACTCTGGTGTAGCTAGTTTCTGCAGAGGAGTGCGGGACACGTGAGAGTAGAGGGAGTAGAAAGCGTTGGCCATTGCTGTTAGCACTTGCACTTGTCTGAAACGACCTGCGGAAAGAATAAATTGTAAATAAGAAAAATGTATATGGATCCCATTTCTCACATCAAACTATATTATACAATTCACATAAAAAGATAACAACAGAGTGATTTAATAACTCCATTGTATTACTAGCAAGAGAGAGGCTGGGGTCTTCCTCTCGTATCCGCCGTAGCTGCGAATCCAGGAAGAGGCGGAAGTTGATGCCCTGAGCCTGAGAGGGGAAGGTGAAGAAACGAGGAGGGATGCGTACAGTGACCTGTGGCTCATCGCAGCCGAAACCCAGCTCGTACAGCGTCTCCTCTGCATCCTCCGAACACAGCTGCAGGATCTCCGATATACTGACGTGCATGTAAGAGAAAAAAGAGATACCATTTATTTTTTCTGTTAAAAGGGATTTTGTGAAGCCCTTGGAGGCAAATTTGTGATTTAATTAAGAGAAAGTGCTTTACATGATTATGAAACAAGGGACCAATAAATACAAATGAAAACAATAAAGAGAAAAAGTGATGAATATAATAACAGAAAATAAGAATTTGGACAGCTGAAACTTGTCACACAGGTTATTCAAATGCAAAGAGCCTGGTTATCAGTCTTCAGACCTACAGAGTAACAAACCTTAGAAAGTGCTGAAGGCTCACCTTGATGTAGTTTTACAGGTGGAGGAAGAGAGACAGCTAGAGGCCATGCTGTGACCCAAGTTCAGTGACGGCAGGCATAGAGCCTGACGAGGGGTACTATAGACAAGACATGTGAAAAGCTATAATGCTATGGAAGAAACACACAGTAATTTTAAGCATGAATCTTAATAATGGCAAACCTGGTTACGCTTCAAAATTTAATCAAAGACTATTCAGCTGACGAGCAAATACAAAGCCACAGTGATTTACATTTACACAAGTAGAAGGATGGCTATACTGACCTGCTGATGGGTCTGCTCTGACATTGTCTGAAGGATAGATGCCGTGAGAGGCTTCACGGTCACCACACAGTAAGGAAAAGAAGAAACAGAACAACAGTGCATTCTTTTGAGTGTCTTTAGTATTGATTTAGTAAATTCAGAAAGTCAGAACTTAAAAAGTGCCCATATAATGGGTCGTACTTGAATCTATAATCAAGTGATAAAGGAGTGGTATCTCATTTACACCTCTGAATCATTTTAATAGAAACAGCCTTCCGCGTAAAGGGTTGTAACCACCAGACTCAGCTGGCATTAGGTGTGAATTGAACATGCATTTTGGACTGGAAGTGTAGTTCATATGCCTCTAGAAGTGACTGTAATGTAAGAAAAATAAGAGAGTTCTTCTTGCTCCTAAATGAATTGTGTTCTTGTGTGGAAAAGGGGAAATACAGAATCACTCCTGTCAGTATGGTGAATACAGCAATGTGGATTAATATTGACCATTATTCACTAATTCAATAGCACAATGATCTTCTTTTCTTATATAAGACCACAGTTGCTACTCACCCGGCTTTAGATGTAATTTGTCCACCATTTAACGCAGAAGCTAAAACAAAAAGGAAGAATATGTTGATATGCATCTGAATGTCGGTTTCACAGTTTATTTGCAAACCTGTGCAAATACGAGTATGTGTGTCTGTCTGAATGTGTAACCCTAGTAAAATTTGGATTAACATCATTTTCAGTTTCTGCCTTACCATGCTCACAGACACTGTCATACAGCTGCTGGAGTAATGAAAAACGCGTACTGAATCAGGATGTCATTCAAGGACGAAATGGTAAACTGATACAGAGGGTGTAATGTTATGGATTTCTTTATCAGAAGTCATATCGTAAACTAAAAGGCACTAAGCGATGAAATTAAAGGTATTATGAAATTCTTTACCGAGCTGTTACAAACAAACATCTTAGTCCGACCACTTAAATCATACAAAGAATTTTTTGATCTTCATTTCTGATATAAATATTGTAAGTGTGTAAATACATTTCACATAAAAAACAGAAATCTTCTATGAATAATTAACATTAACATACACTTCCCATTCTCAAAATCTCTGAGATATTACAGTATATATGCACACACAAATGTAATGTTTGTTAACATTCATGATGCAAGCCTCATTTTCCTGTGTGTGTGTGTGTGTGTGTGTGTGCGCGCTTACCATCAGCACCAAGACTCAGCTCGTCGTCAAAGTTGAGCACAGACTCTGAAGAAAGACCCACAGTCATTTAAGTCATTACATAGGTTCATTATATGTTAATCACAAGTCTATGTGCTATTGGTGTGCAGTGGTGGAAAGTAAGTATACTTACTCAAGTACTGTATTTTGGTATAGATTTGAGGTACTTATATTTCCATTTCACGTTATACTTCTACCCCACCACAATTCAAAAGGAACTATCGTATTTTTTACTCCACTATATTTACATGACAGCTTTATTTACTAGTTACTTTACAGATCAAGATTTTACATATAAAACGATTCTATCAAATATGATGCACTGTTGTAGGTTAAACTACTCAACTGAGCACGAAAATAAAATATTAAAATTATCCCCATCTTCACCAGTGACAACAGTAAAATGCTATTAATAATCTGATAATATAATGTACAATAGTTTAACACTCAGAAGAGCCATTTATTCTGAATTCAGAGTATTTTTACTTTTGATACTTTGAATGCACTTTACTGATAATACTTACATCTTTTTACTCAAGTTACATTTTCAGTGCTACTTTTACTTGAGTAAAGGATCTGGTTACTTCCTCCACCACTGCTGGTGTTTATGGACAGGGTTTGAGACAAAAGGAAAATGTTTTTTGCATTTATGACATGCAACAGTAAATAAATACTCACAGTAAGTCGTTCATTGTTATTCATGACAATGGCTTTATTTCAGTTCATACTCACCAAAACTCAGCTGAGCGCCATTTTCTGAGCGGGCCTGCAACCTGTAAGACAAATCCAAATATTTAATGCATAAATACACTCGCACATCTATACCCGGTCAGTGTCATTTGCATGCTTCTCCTATCAAATAAGTGATTGCGTTTGCATAGATAGACTCATTTGGAGCATGATAGCAATCTAGCTACAGTATATGCTTAGAGCTACTCCCTAATCAGCTGTCAACATGCTGCTGAAGCCTGTCAACTTCCTCTTACAGAAATGGCTGCATGCTAAGCAGTATAAAGATCAACACCTCCAAACGGATCTGGTCATTTTCATTTTGAGTTCTCAGAATGCATAAAACATCACGCCACTCCTTTAACTTTCTCAGCATTAGGAGCCAGATGCTGACACACTGTGTGTGGAACCTCACTGACAACCAGCAGGGCAGCTTCCATTTCAATTACTGTAATAGGAGACATTAAATAATGTCTGTGTGTGCTGACCTCCTTCCTCCAATCAGTTTCATAAGAGGAACTGTTATTTCCTTCTAGTTCTATAATTATTTTACTCTAAACCACAAGGAAATCTTGAAAAGTTCAAAGGGCTCTCAGTGTTTCCCCTAGGATCAGAATAGTTTAAAACTTCAGTGTTTTCCGAGTTTAATGTGAGCTTTAGCTGAATGTTTTGGTGTTGGTGGACATAGTCAGGGTGGTGGGGGGTTTTAGGGGTCCTCCCCCAAGAAAATTTTACATTTTCCAATGACAAATATGTAATTTCACATCACATTGGGCCATTATTTTCACCATATGTCTGAACAAAGAGTTGGAAAAGCTAGAGCAGGTAAATAACCAACAGCAAAAGATCAGTCTACTGGGGAGGAACTACAAACTTTAGATTTGGGGGAAGTTATTTGGTTGGTTATGATGCTCTCCACAGTGATTTAATATTTATTGCACAGCATGTTTTAAACATCACCCCTTAAAACCCTGTTAATATGACCTGAGAATCGTTACAGATACGGTTGTTCATGTTTGCCTTTTGCACATTAAAATCCAAAAAGAAACGTCTCCTCATTAGCTTAAAAGGACTAGTTTGCATCACTAATTTGCTTTACTAGCCTCAGCTCCAGACAAGTAGGCAGTAATAAAATACAGCTACCAGTTACTTTCTATTGAGCTAATGTGAAGTTACATAGCAGCCAAAACACGCAACCTGCTGTTGAAGCTTTGCTGCTCAGCTCAGTAAAGGGGAGGGGGATGCTAACTTAGCGCTAACAGGCTTCACTTTTTCAGCAGGTGAGGAAAGAACAGACTTTTCTTGGTCTTAAGAAGCCGACACACTTTAACCAACACCGTACATTTACTGCCAGAATATTTTCCTCCGCTCGCGTTCACCGTCACTTTCTGCAGCGAAAGCTAGCCAAGCATTGTGTTGCCGTGCTCCCACAGTGTGCGAGTGAAAACATTTGTAGCACATAGTTTAATTATCGTGGGAAATTTTATTAGCGGCGGTCATGATTTGAATGTATAAAGGGGAAACACTGGCTCTAGTGTGCTATTTTGGAGAAACAGCTTCAGCAGTGGAAGACATGTTGAAATGTTTGCATCTACATCCTGACTATAATCAACATCGCCTTATGAAGCTGTCTGCATGTATGTCATTGGTCTAGACAGCCACCTGTTGTGTCAATCAACACTTGCGCATCTCCTGAGGACTCTAACATTACGGTTTTTAAGGTCTAAAATAAGCTTTTTTCCACTCCAATAGAACTGTAAAAAAAAGAAGCAACGATTTAGGCTATTGTGGCGCAAACTGTGGCTACCATGTCACACCGTCTTCCTGGAACACCTGACATCAGAGAGTTTCCACTTTCTGCTCACTGTTTGTTGAACTTTTTTTCCAGTGACACATTGTCCTTCAGAGCCTATTAAGAGTCAATGCTCGAAGAAATATCATCTTAAAAAAAGTAGTAAAGCAAGCTGACTCACCCGCAACCCTGGAGCCAGTTCTCAATCTTTCCTGTGAAGCATCCTGTGGAAATCACACTTAACTTTATGAGTAATCCTCATTAAATAAAACAACTCATGTTGTTCTTTTACTCTATTTAAGAGTTCTCTTTATCAATAAACATAAGACGATGGACACATTCTGTTGTGAAAAATCATGATTCACTCAAGACATTTTCATCACTTTTCAGCTGGATGTTGGATGGATGTTCCTTTTGTATAATTTATAAGTAATGGCAGACGTTACAATGATGATAAACGGGGCACAACATCTCCCACTACTTCCCCTAAAATCTTCACTTGATCACAAGCATCCTCAAGCATAAACTCTAAATACTGGACAGATATGTGCCTATGTGGTGGGATCTCTCACACTCTCCCATCTTTGGACTCACCGTCTGAAAATACATCGTCGTCTGCTATAGAGGCAGAGGGGAGGTTGCATGGCGGTCCATCTGGGTCCAGCTCCTCCAGAGTGAGCCACTGCCGGCGGCTGTTGATCCACGCTCGCCGCCTGACTGTGGACGACGGGCTCTCCATCGCCTCACTTCACAGACAGCCAGGGAACATGGGGTTGAAGCTACAGGGGCAGAAGGATGATGAAATATAGATAATATTTCAGTAATGATTGGTTTAAAATACAGAGACTGACAACATTTTACACTGACGTTGCGCTTTTTAGATTATCAACAGGATGCTTCCTCATTACTGGAATTTATCGGCGGGTTGGATGAGCCTTTGAAACAGTAGACTGAGGTGTGACACTAAAACTCTGACAGATGAATTACATTCTTTAAACATGCAGCAGCCCCCACTTCTATGAAAGAAGAATCACTCCATTACTGCTTTTCAATGGATATTCGTCCGTCTTAAACATTGCTGAACAATTGTGGCCTACTTCAAATAAAGTGCATACAAGAGAGTGAAAAAATAAAAGAATATAGTAGGCTAGTTATTGAAAACTATGTAAGGATGTAGGTATAGGCTAAAGGAGGGCAGACATATACACATACACACAGATACAAACACAGAGTGACAAATAGAATCCATCCAAAAACCAATTGAAATGAAAACCTGCAAAGGATGAATAGCATATATGTCAAAGTCCTAGTTATCTAATGTACGAGCCCAACCATGCAGCCAGAAGTACAATTTTGATGAACAGAAAACATAAATTATAAAATAAACTTTTCTCCATAAACAGCAAAAAGGTGTGTTCATTGTTAAGTTTTAGCTGAATAAAGAAGGCCTCCTAAGAGTTTTAAAATCTCCCATTCAAAGCAAAATAGGAATAAACTTGACAAAAGAAAAGCAGCTTTTACCTTCATGGACGCAGGTTTCAGTTCTGTCGCCGGCGCTCTTTCTCACGCTTCCTGTTGTCGCAGGCTGAGGTGGCTGAAACTTATCTGCAAACTCTCAAACTGCATCCAGCTTGCTCTTGCTTTCACTGATTAATTCGCGATTAGGCTTCGAGTTTCTGGTAACTGCTTCTCAGCCATGGCAGCTAGCCTACATGGTTCGTGGTTGCGCGCATCATCACAGATGATAGGGTTTTGAGCAGCCTGTAGGAAGTGACTTTGCATCTCATGTGAAATACAACCGTTTTATCAGCGTGGGCCGCAGCTGCGACACATCCTGCAGAGACACGAGCAGGCTTTTTTGGAAATGGCAGGTAAAGGTTAATTATGCAACAGAAATGATTAAAACCATAAAAACAACGTCATTCGTAAGATAAGCAAACTAAGGCCTATAAACTGCAGCGCAACTCCTAAATGACACAAATAGCTTTTATCTTTGTTAAATGATGACTTTATTATCCATCCGTGTTGATATTTTAAACGACTTTATAGCTTTTTATTTTGGGGCCTGTGTGTGTGGAAATAATCTCTTACCATGAAATGCTAACTGACAATAAATTGACTAATAATGTTTTACGAGAACTTCTCTGCACCATTTTCACTAAGTCGCACGTTATAAAGGGAACATAATAAGTGACTAATTAATGAATATTTAGCCTACTAATGCTTTATAGATTAGTTATAAACTATCAGACAATTTTTCAGTTGCCAAGGTGTGGCTGCTGTTTGTCCTCCTTCACCACACGGTCCCTTTAGTTCATCGTATGATTTTAGATGAAAGCTTTTAGAAAGATAGATGGTAGACTGACTTGTGAATTTTTCATGCCCAAGGAAAGTAGTGGAGAAACAGAAAGGAACTAAAGGGAAGTGGTCGGGAGTATCTAAGCGCATTTACACAACCACTTCATGCATATAAAGCAAACTTTATTTATTTTTAACCCATTCAATATGTATTCCTTGCACTATGTTTGTTTACAAGCTACAAAACAGCCTATATGTCTGGTCATTGTTGCTTTTTAATATATATTTCTATATCCAAATATTTTTCAACTACTTGTACATAATAATTCTCTGTTTATTTTTATGCCTCTTTGTTCAGCTTTTTTGTCCTTGTTTTAAGCTGTATGTCTATTTCTGTCTTCCTGTAAATTGTTCTGTGCATAACATTGAGAGCAACTTAAAACCGGAGTCACATTCCTTGTATGTAAACACATATTTGGCCAGTAAAGCTGATTCTGATTCAAGTACTGTACTTAAGTACAATTGTAAAGCACTTGTAGCTACTTTACTTGATTTTTTTACTTGGCACTCTACTTTACCATTAGACTTTATGCTCCACAGATGCATTTGATAGTTGAGGTTACTCCTTACTTTGCTGAAGATATAGGGCTGAATTCCTTTCACTTCCTGGTATTGTGCATGCTGGATCACTGTCAGGGCTTACTGGGACACTTGACTAGAACAGAGCCATCATTAATGTTATTAGTAAGACCTGTGTTTTTCCTAATGAAAGTATCTGCTGTGAAAAAGGCATATCGTAGGCCTACATAGAAACTGTTGTAAACTTATAAAATATGTTTGTTATAGATTAAACTACACAACAATGTGAAAAGTAGTTGAAATTACCTCCATGTTGACAAACTACAAGAGTAATATGCTGATTAGGCTATATATTAATGCATCAGTTATAATTAATGCAATAATATAATATAGGCTATAATAACACAGTGGGCATTCTGCTGCATGATGAAGCTATACTTTTGCTACTTTAAAACATTATTTAGTTCATTATGGGATATTTACATTGTGATATTGCTACTTTGGCTACTTAAGTAAAGGATCTAAATACTTCTACTGATAAATAAAGTCAATGCATGGTGCACTGGCAGCCAGATGCTGTAAACTGAAATAATACACTAATAATAACTAGTGTAATTAGTTATTTTACACAGTGTATGGTTTGACCTGATTGGGGGTGCGTTTGTGTAGAGGCGGGCTGGAAATATATAGGTAAAATAGTCACATCTGTGACTACTGAAGCAACATCAAGGTATTTGATTTCTGACAGAGTTGGGTGGATGCAGGCTTGGCCTGAGGAAGGACTCCACCCTCTGTCCTGTTTACATGGGCACATGTGCTGCTTCACTGACAGCCCCCTCGCACATCCCAATAATACAAGCCCTCCCACAAGCGAGCCATTTTCTCCTCCCAGCTCAGTTACAGCCAGTGTTTGAATGTGATGAGGTCTCTTCTCCTCCACCCTGACCGACTCCTCCCGCCTCCTTGCTGTTTTCCAACCCACAGGGCGCCACCAGGGAGTGGCCAGTGGCCACGGAGGCAAGACTTAAATGCCCAGTCCGCCTTCCTCCTTCACCACGTCCGTGTTCAAAGCAAGAGATGGGCTACGGCATCGTCACTCTATTGAATCATAAGAAAATATCAGGGATGGAGTAAGGGGAAATGTGTATTTTTTAATGTAAACACATTTGCTCATGGCACCTTTTAAGCGGAAAACGGATAACCCAACGTCAATCATACTCAGCTGTGCAACCTATCTTGCTTGGTCCCGCCCAATTCGCCGCCTTTGGCTTAATTGCATTGGTTAGTTAATTCTTGATGGCAGAAACGACCTTTCCCATTGGAGGAAAGCTGCAATCCTTCGCAAGTAGCTCCCAGAGGGGTGCGCTTCTTTTAGCTACTGGGGTAGTGCGATATGATTATCACCAGGTACCAGGTGACATTAAAATTAAGTTTAATTTCAAACACCGCGTCCTGTGTTATCCATAGACTATATATAAAAGGTCTTATCGTACCAGAAGACCTACTGATTGTAGTTAATACGGTTCGGGCATGGGGTGTGCTATGGCGGATTTTGCGACAGTGTTAAACCTAAACGTCAGTAAAACATAAATTTGAATGATAAATTAACGTTAACGTTTAGAAATGTGGTATTGCATTAAAAAAATAATGAAATAATTACCTTCTTAATGTAAACTCCGTCCTTTGATGAGGATGATAAAAAATCTAGTAAGTGGGCCTTGAGTTAAGACTATTTTGTGAAACTATAATGTCAACGTTTGAAATTAAACTGCCTAAATGCTATTTGCTGGTCAGTGTTCGTCTTCCGTGAAGTCGGCAGGCTGCGCTGGTCCATAAATCGAGCGCACCCGTCTTTCTCCTTCATAGGGGGAGCCCGTCAAGTTTGTGTGAAGTTGTGAAAAGTTGTCAACTCGAAAAAAGACCAGAGAAACTCCTCCCGTCTTCAAATTATGAGCAGTAAGTCAACTTTTTAAAAACTGAGTGGCATGTTGTGACTGAAGCATTAAATTAACTGTTAAAAGTAAAATCAAAGTACATTGTTTGAAATGCATTCACTGTTGTAAGTATATTGTATTGTTTAGCTAACGTCTCAAGCATTTAAAAACTACTTAACTGCCAATTGTCGATACTTCGCTAACAACATTTAGCCAACCAAGTAAAGCTAGCTAGCTGTTCAACAGTAACGTAGCTTCTGTTCTTAATTGACAATACCTGCTGTTTACACAATAATTTAACTTAACTTAATCCAATTCCCGTGAGCTGGCTATCTAGTTATTTATTTATATATATATATATATATAGTGGCGCAGTTGAAACTCTGTCGGTCTCTTTAGGTAATTTAACTGTAGTACTTTTTCTTCACATTACTTGTTGTGGTGAGTTCATGTTAGCCTAGCATGTAGGCTAGCTGGCCCTTCGAACACTTGTGGCTTGGATTTCCTTGCATTTTCTGCTAGTAATTTCTTCTCGTTAACTACAAAAAAACATGAAGTTTAGTTATTTGTGTGAGGTCAACCATGCGTACATTGTGTTTTTCCTCAGTTGAATGTAACGTTAACTCAGTTTAATAGTCTGCTATTTCACCGTAACTTAACTACTTTAAGATACGTGATCTTACAAACTCTTCCGCAGATCAGCAGCAGGGTGAAATGGCCGCTGTGGAGAGCGGTGGAGGCTTCAGTCAAAAGCGAAACACAAATTCACAGGTAGGTTAACTGAACGGTCGTGGTTTGTCAAATCAGACGATTGCCAGCCGAGAAACATTAACCATACTACCCTTTTCATACAAAAAACACACCCGTCTTTCCTGTGGGTTTGTTTGATTCTGTTATTCATCTGTGTTAACACTTGCACGGGTTGTTGATTTTCTATCCAGAGCACATGTCACTGGGGTGGGGAGTGGGCAGGTAAATTTCGCCCACACGGGGTGTTCCCGTCAAACCCCGGCACTTCATGTGCGTTTCGCTCGGCCCATTTGGCTGGCCTTGGAGGGGGTGGCTAGAAGACTGTGTCAGTTTATAGGGCAAAATAAAGTGTGGGAGGGAGATGGGTGGGTTTGGGGGGAGGGGATGCCGAGCCCGCCGCTGCACTGGGGGGGAAAAAAAATGTGGTCCCTCCCATGCTTTCCCACCCTGCTTCCCCCAGGACTCCTCACTCCAGCCCCGCTGTCTGAGAAGTGCTGGAAAGAGACTTGCAATTTTTTAATGTAATGAATGGCGTTTAGGGAGTGATACTACATGGTGCGATTGGCATTTACAACGCACATGATCACATGAATTGGAAATCTTTTTTTTTTTTTTTAATCACAGTGATAATATTTTATTTTTAAAATATCCTTTTGACCTTTTCTGTCCAGGCTCTTCTACTTTGGATCTTATTTAAATCACTTCTTGAAACCCTGTTTTATCAGGTCAACTTTTAATTATGGTTATTGTTTTTAATTGTTTTAATCGCTATATTGGTATTGTTATTTCCTTTTTAGTATTCAAATTTGAACTGTCGTTAAATGTAAAATGGCTCTCAATAGGAATGGACATTGTGTCAGCTATTTATATATTTTTGTCAGCAGCATTAACATGTATGTTAGATAGTAAGTATGTATTTTTACTATATAAATTATTTCTGTTCTGCTTTTCATGTATTCTCTTTCCAGGACTCACAGCAGCCATCTCCTCTTGCTTTGTTAGCAGCCACGTGCAGTCGAATTGACACCCCAGGAGAGAACGATTCACCTGCAGACCAACAAAACCAGCAGCAACAGCTGGACCTAAACCAGGGTGTTTACACCTCTAGTGCCAACGGCTGGCAGGTTATCCCTCTCAGCGTTCAAACATCCTCAGGCACTAACACCATCACCACCACTGACTCCTCAGGGGTAATGACAGGAGGAGACACAGGCAAGAGCAGACAGGTGCTGTCATCAGTAGCAGTTGCAAGCACTCAGGGACAGCAGCATCAGCCACAGCAATATGTAGTAGCTCAGGCTCCATCCATGCAGGGCCAGCAGCTCCTTACCACCATATCAGGTATGATGCCCAACATTCAGTACCAGGTTATTCCCCAGTTTCAGACAGTAGATGGCCAGCCACTGCAGTTGACCCATGCTCAGCAGGATTCTAATGCAGGACAAGGGCAGCAGTTTCAGATAGTGTCCTCTCCTAATGGCCAGCAGATCATAACCACAACCAACAGAGCTGGTGCAGCAGGAAACATCATAACGATGCCCAGTCTCCTTCAGGGAGCCATCCCCATTCAAAATATAAGCCTAGGCAATGGCGTGTTACAAAACCAGCCCCAGTTCCTGGCAAATATGCCTGTGTCACTAAATGGAAACATCACTTTGTTGCCTGTCAGTACTGGAACAAGTGGTACAGGGGGAGATGGAAATGGTGGCGGCGATGCAGGGGGCAACCAACTTATACAGCAATCGCAACATCCAGTGTCCAGCGGGGCAGGTTACATGACAAGTGCATCCACCGTTACCACTCAGACTTCCACTTCTTACGGAATGACCCAAACGCAGAACAGCAATGGAGTGATGACCGGGACATTCCAGCATAACACAGCAGCTTCTCTGGGTGTCCCGATACAGCCAGACAACAGAGACGGACAGCACCCACAGCAGATTCTTATCCAGCCTCAGCAGGTTATCCAAGGTGGAACACCCCTCCAGACCATCCAGGCCGGTACTGTCACCACCGCTGGCGGTCAGGTATTTGCAGCCCCAACACTCAGCCAGGAAGGGCTTCAAAATCTTCAAATTATGCCAAACACAGGCCCCATCCTCCTGCGCACTGTAGGCCCCAATGGCCAGGTGAGCTGGCAGACCATTCAGATCCAGAATCCAACGGGACCGCAGATTACGCTGGCCCCAGTGCAGTCTCTCCCCCAACTTGGCCAGGCTCAGGGATCTGCTGCAGCTGGAGCAGTGTCTGTCAACACAGTGCAGATCCCAGGCATTCAGACCATAAATCTCAACACACTCGGAGGCTCTGGGCTGCAGATGCACCAGCTGCAGACTGTTCCCATCACAATCGCCAGCACAGGTCAGTCAGTAGCCTGCTTTCCAGAAATAATTGGTGTTCAGTGTATACATAATATTATACTGTACATAATATATTGCATATTATTTTGAAAAGTGAGCTACATTAACACTCAGTATATTAAATTAACAGTTGTTGTGTTTCAAACATTTTGAGCTGTTAGTGACTCAGGAAAACCCAGTGGCCCTTGTATGAAGGACTTTATTTGTATTAAATGATGCAATCCTCATGCAGAACCATTCATATTTCTAAATAGAATTGGTTTATATTTTGACTGCCATTTGTAGTCATGACTTTTCAGGCATGGTCAAAATAACGGAGGCTGAAATTAACCTTGATTGTGTTTAGTTTCAGTTATTTTAAACAACACAGATAACCAACAACTAACCTTCAGCTATAGTACACAGTAATAATACAGCAGTAGACCAACAGGCAGTTGAGCTGAGTAAAATGTTAAGTAGTCTGGACAATTTTGGTGCTTGCTGTATTTGAGTTTCATCCCAGATGTTTACTCTGAGTTTCTTGTATCTCAGTTTTTTTGATCTTTGTGTGTTAAGTGCACTATACTGGTTTAACCAGTTCAGCTGGCCAAGTGTTTCCCTAAGCCGTTTACTGCACACGTGTGTGGAATATCTTTTTCCTGTTCCTGGTGACACTGCATCTCTTCAGACGATTGTCACATTACAGTACTGTAGTTGTGGGTTGGCCACAACTTCTGTGTCATAATAGGGGTGTAACTTGACCCCACCCTCTTACAGCAGCCTTTTATCATGTATAAACCCTTCTTTAGTTCTGTTATTCTTAGGCCTTCCATTGTGTTTACATGCTTGCTAGTCTACATTTTATCAAATCATAATGTTTGTGAGGAATCATTGGGTCTGTTTGTAGTGCATGTAATATGCTCTACGTATGTAGCAGGCCTTTTTTGGGCTCCAACAGTACTGAATGGCGGGTGTTTCTACGCATTAGTGTCGGTTTACTTTGGCATAGTAGTTAAAGCCTCAGGCCATCTGGCATTAGACTGTATATTCTCATGTTACTCACTGTATTACTCATATTCAAATATTACTCTTCTGAACATTGTTTAATTAAGCAATGTTGAATAAAGCTACTGTAAATGCCCTTAAATTAAGAAATATCGGGAAATAATAGGTTACATTCTCTGTCACTTGAAATTCCTTGCTATAGATGTTATTATAGATGACCTAAATATTTTAGACGAAGGCCACATACAGTTTAGGCCAGCACACATTTATAACATACATAAATGTAAATGGTTTACTCTATTAGCGCCTCTGCTGTTTTTGTTTTTTTTTAAATAAAGTCAGTAATTAAGGATCCCTCTATCATCTGGATTTTTGATTTTTAATAGGTTTTAAAATACAAGCAAGCTGTAATCTTCTTGAGGAATGGAATTTCTTAGAAGATTTCATTCATTCACTTTATTATTAAAGTGTGTATACTGTGAAACTTAAGTTAATAGCCCAAATAGCCGCCTACCCTCTTTACTGGCCTGGTGTGGGAACACATTGACAAATAAATGCAGACCTAGATTAAACACCTTGTCTTGTCATGCATACAAATATTAATGTTTGTATGATCAACATGTCAGTATGGGCATGCTACACATCGTTAGATCAGTGGTTCTTAACATGACCCCCCCCCTCGCGAGAATGCTGCTATAGACACACACACACACACAAAAAAAAAGATAGATAGATAGATAGATAGATATAGAGAGATAGATAGATATATATAGAGAGATAGATATAGATAGCATTTTTGATCTATAGCTTGATTTGGTTCATTCCACATCCAATTATTATGCACTTATAGCGCCTCCTAGTGGTCGATTTGAATGAGACTTTCGGGTTATGTGTGAGGTGTTTATGTAGACATATCCTGCAGTTTTTGTGTTGATTGGACAAACAATTTGTATTTTGTAGCCTGATTTGCGTTTTATCCCCTGCAGTTTGTTTGCATTTATAGCGCCCCCGGGTGTTCGATTTGAATGAAACTTTCAGGGCATGTTTCATTTACTTATGTGGACATATCCTGAGAGATTTTTGATGATTGGAGAATGAATATGGGATTTATAGTGTAATTTGTGTAATGCTAAGCACCTGTCTTGCGCTTGTAGCGCCCCCTAGTGACGTATGTACATCAAACTGTCCGGGTAAATCCGAGGCACCTATCTGAACATATCCTGTGAATTTTGTGATGATCGGCCCAACGGCTGCTGATTTGTGGTCATTTATGTCCAGAGCCACGCCCTTTTCAAAGTTCATTGGTCCATATCTTGAAAGGTAATTGAGATATCGACATGCTTTATACAACTTTTAATAAGCTTGATCCAATGATGATTCTAGGAGGAGATGTCAAAAATGTGATTTTCAAAAAATTCAAAATGGCAGAAAAAAAACTCTAGGCGGACCTTAATAGTCCTTGAGGCTTTTTTGTAGAGCACTTTGAGCTGCACCTGTGTGAGAAATTCCAAGTCAATCGGACTTACCATGTAAGGGGCGTGGCCTTTCAAAGTTTGCATTTTTAAGTGTTATTTACAGCGCCACCATGTGGCCGATTGAGTTCATATTTCTGTGGAAGCTGACGCACACAATTTCCAGTTATTCCCCCAAATTTCATGTTTCTATCTCATTCCAGCTCACGGGAATTTGAGCCGGCACGGCAGACAACAAATAATAACAACTAAAACACACTAAAACAAGAGGGTTCTACCGCTACGCGGTATGACCCTAAGTAACTAGACAGAATATAGTTGTGAATCACTTTGGGTGGACACTGTAAATATTTTGCACTGTTTAATCCAGCAGGTGGTGGTAATGCCAACCGCTATAAAACGACAAAGAAGAATCAGGCCCCAATCGCTGTCAGTGTAATCAAAGATTATAGCGCCAGTGATCTGTAATCTTTGGTTTGCCGCCAAGTAATACATTTACTCATTTGGCAGACGCTTTTATCCAAAGCGACTTACATTTGAGGAACAGCATACAAGCATCAACAGAGCATCAAATACAGATCATGCAACTGACGGCATACAACTGACAATACATACTAGTAAGAGCAGCATAAGTACTAGTAAGAGCTCATAGTACATATCACATCAATGGGGTAAACACCTAGGGAAGTAAGTTAAGAAAAAGTGCAGTCAATACAAGATAATTGTAGGGGATAGAAGAAGAAGAGCATATGACGTGCATGTTAGAGGTTAGGAGTTAAAGGTGTTATAAGAGGAGGTGTTGAGTGAGATGATGAGTTTTCAAGAGCTTCTTGAAGTTAGAGAGGGACACCCCTGCTCTGATGGCGTGTGGTAGTTCGTTCCACCATCGTGGTGTCACAGATGAGAATAACCGGGACTGGGATTGCTTTGTGTGAAGGAATGGCAGAGCCAGGCGGCGTTCGTTGGAGGAGCGTAGCGGCCGAGAAGGAACGTAAGTTTGTATTATGGAGTTTAGGTAGATGGGTGCAGACCCAGTAGTCACGGGGAGCCAGTGGAGGTCACTGAGTAATGGAGTGACATGAGTCTTTTTGGGCAGATCAAAAACCAGACGTGCTGCTGCGTTCTGAACCATTTGTAAGGGTTTCACTGCACAAGCTGGAAGACCTGCTAGGAGGGCATTGCAGTAGTCGAGGCGTGACATAACCATGGCCTGTACCAGAAGCTGGGTGGCGTACTGAGTGAGGTAGGGCCTGATTTTCCTTATGTTGTATAGAGCAAAGCGACATGACCGAGAGACAGCAGCAACAGGGTCTGAAAAGGACAGCTGGTCATCAATCATGACACCCAAGTTTCTCACCACCTTGGTTGGAGTGATGGTTGAGGAGTCAATTTGTAGTGTGATGTTATGGTGGATAATAACGGTCATATTGGCAGAAACTTGATCACAACTCACAGGTCTGAGTCTTTTGTTGCTAAAAAAACATCTGCCAAATGGATGGCACCTACTCTGGCACTGTTGAGTGTGTGGAGTATACAAATATGCAGAAGACAGGGAAACAGAGATCCATGTGGGCACATGAGACCCTCAGAATGGGGAGGCAATGCTGGTAGTAGGCTACCACCAGCTGGTCCAGGAGCTTCGTCTTAATGATGGTCGGTTCAAGGCGTATTTTAGGAGTTGGGGAGAGTCTGGACAATCCAAGCAACTGTAAACTTTCGTCAGCACAACTGAGGGCCTGTCTCTCCATTCATTAGATTTTCATAAAAATGAAAATGAATGAAAAGTTGTGAATCCTGTCATGTGAAGTCCAATTGCTCTGTCTGCTAATTTCTGCCACACTTTTCTCATCCTGCACCGTGTTGTTGTTTTTGTTATGTTGCTGCCTTCAAAATAAAAGTGCATAACTAATCTGTCTGAGGTAGATCAAATGAATGATGTGTATTTGATCATTTTTATACATGTGATATTCATACTGTACTGAAATAAATAAACTGTTTCATAGTAGCATATTTAAGTTTTGTGCAAAAGAAATTAAAGGCCTGTCCCAAATATAGGCAGGATCAATTCAGTGATTTTAGCAAAAAAAAGCCCGGGCTATTAATCAAAGTTTTACGGTATAAACCAAAAAGACCTCAAACCATTAAAGAATGGATCTCTCCCTTTACTTTTGATGCCATCACTACAGGAGAGCAGGCCTTGCAGACGGGTGTAGAAAGTTTGGACGATAGCACAGCTATGGATGATGAGGATATAAGCCCACAACCTCAAGGACGACGTAACCGCAGGGAAGCCTGTACCTGCCCCTTCTGCAAGGATGGAGAAGGGCGGTATGTACCTTAACCATTGTATTAGGCACACCTGTACAGCGCAGTGCAATCTGCCATAATCTTCACTGTTATGGTGCATAATAATGTCCAGTTTTTGTTGACATTGTCATAGAGGTGTTCATTGAAATGTAAGTTTGAGCTTTGAGGGTCATAGTGATGTGTTGCACTGGACTGCATTATATTGAGGCGTTTCTAATATTCTGCCCCCCTTGTGTGTAAATAGGAGTGACAAAAAATTAGAAACGCCTCAATATAGTGTAATCCAGTACACCACCTTAACTATGACATCAATAATGAACATATTATTGGAAAAGTGTAAATCCAATTATGTCTTTGTAAAAATAGATGTTATTGAACCTAATGTAGAGGCCACTTAATGCATATTGTGCTAATTTAGAAGGTGAATGTTTTTCAGAAAAAACTTATTTTATCACGTTACACTATTATACATGCTATTTTTGTTATTATACAGTTATTTGGAACTCATTGTTTGTCAGTATGTAAGGTAAAGCATAGTTACCTTAAGCAAAGTTTGTCTTATCATTGAAGAGCTTTGCAATTAGTTTTAATACTTAAAACTGTTGTTCTGTGTTATGAGTATGTCCGAGAAACACTACATTTCCTTTTCAGCCGATTTGTGCGTAGCCTCTTCATAGAGAACCCGGTAACTCACTAACTCTGATTTATGTTGCAGTGACCCAACTAAAAAGAAGCAGCACATTTGTCACATCTCTGGCTGTGGGAAAATCTACGGCAAGACATCCCACCTGAGGGCCCATCTCCGTTGGCACACAGGAGAACGCCCCTTCGTCTGCAGCTGGTCTTTCTGTGGCAAACGATTCACCCGTTCTGATGAGCTTCAGCGCCATAAGAGGACACACACAGGTGACCCTGAGGATTTATTTTAGATTATTTGACATTATGTTAAGGACCTGAAGTCTCACACAACTACAAATATCAAAGATGCCGAGTCCAGAGACAGGATAAGCCTATGTGCATACTTCTTTGCAACATCTTTCTAGGGAATCCATTTATTTGCAACAAGATTAGAGCTGAAACACTAAATCAATTTGTTAATCAACAGAAAATCTATTGGCAACTATCTTGATATTTGATTTATTGCTTAGATTTTAAATCACAAATTCCAAATATTTACTGGTTCCAGATTCTCAAATGTGACTATTTGATGGGGTTTTTTTTGTTTTTGTTTTTTGGGGTCTATTATATTAACTATCTGTGGGTTTGATGGGTTTTTGGGGGTTTTTTTTTGTCTGATATTAACTATCTGTTGGTTTTGGACTTTTGGTTGGACAAACAAGTAATTTGAATATCAATTTGAGGCTTTGGGACATTGTGCCAAACAATCAAGATAATAACTGACAGATTATTGATGATAAAAAAAAAAAAACGTTAGTTGCTACTTTTGAATTAATCATCTGCTTGAATCTTACATAATATCTGGCATAACTTTATTTCCCCATTCATACATTGACATATTATATAACGGCATAGCCAAGAGTCATAGTCTGGTAATAACAGCTACAGCTATTTTTATATTGATTTTTATTTCTCCCTCCTTTTCAGGTGAGAAAAGGTTTGTTTGCCCAGAGTGTCCAAAACGCTTCATGCGCAGCGATCACCTCTCCAAGCACATCAAGACACACTTAAACAAGAAAGCCGTGGCCAGCAGCACCACTGGCTCGACTGACACTGCGTCCCCTGCGGCAGTAACGAAAGTCGAACCGGGAGCAGTGTCGGCCAATGACCAGCACACCATTGTCACCATGGAAACCTTATCTGCAGAGAGCATAGCCCGATTAGCTAGCAGCGGGATCAACATGATGCAGGTGGACCTTCACCACATGAACGGCAACAGCTACTAAGGACTGCGGAGGAGTAGGAAGACGGCCTTTGTAGATGTTTCGTTGGGACATTTGGGGTTAAAAATGGCACGTTCAATTGGAGACACAGAACCTTTTTAAAGGCTTCAGACAGGAGAGGTGGTCACAGATGTAACACAACAGACACTATTGGATTTGAGAACTGAGGCAGGGATATGGATTTCCATCTTGTGCTTAGATACCTGTGGCATTTAAGGGTCAGACTTGGATTAAAATGTTAGACTAGACTAGAAATCATCATGAAATCTTATTTCCCCTGAATGGAAATGGCACTACACTAACATTTGTCCGACACGATGACCCAATCTTAGTAGGATTGAAATAAAGCACACAGACCGGCACAACTGATGTTGAATTTGTGGCTAGTAATATTCTCTTTACAAACTTTTTTTTAGTAAAGAGATGACACTACTAAGTCAGACTCTCACCCATGTTTCCACCGTTCCCTCCTCATGTCAGGTGTCTCCTGACTTCTAAAACTGGGCTGCTGTTATCAAGCGTGCCCCTCATGCTAACTGGCCACATCGCTAGTTCACCCCTAAAAACTGAACTTCTAACGACTGTGAGCAGCAAATATTTGCTTCTTACATTTGTGGTTGCAGTGTTGGGAGAACCATGTGTTCACAAACTAACAATCCCAGTATTGTAGGAATAATATGTCAAGCGTTTTAGGGTCGACCGTTACAGGAGGGCTGGAATACATGAGGTCAGAGCCAGAAGCACTAATCAGTGTGAGGATGTAGGTGTGTCAGGCCACTGAAATCCTAAGAATAACTCTTTAACCTCTTATGTAGGTACTCACATTCAAGCCATCATGCTTTGATATGTTTATCATAGCAAAACCATTTTCATTTTTTATGTGTGTGTGTGTGTGTATATATATATATATATTTTTTTTTTTGGTAAAGGCTACATAAATTCTTAGCTTAGGTGGGATCATCTTACAAGATTACAAGAGATTGCCTTTCAGTTGTATGAACCTCATGCACAATCAATCTTAATCTTATTACGTATATATATATATATAGTGTAAACTTAAGAGCCTCTGTCATAGAATAATGTATTCTATACAGTCCAGATACATTACAGTACATATTTTCTTCTCTGTGGTATACTTATCATCTGATACTTTGCCTTGCAGTAGCGTTCTCTCTGTGGAAAAGCATTTCCTCTTCAGTCATATCTGGTCAGAGTGTATTTTGTAATAATGTCCAGACAGCATAAATATTTAAGCTCAAACCAAAGGTTCATACTCATTTTATAAGCAAGGCTAGGAAATCTTTCTTTGGTCCATGAACTTTCTAATATTTTTTTACTCTTGTAATACATTATGTTAAAAGTTCTAACTGGAAAATATCCAGCTTGAGGCAAACCTTGGACACACATCCCTTTGTTGTCCAAATACCTTGCAAAATATATTAAGATGTCAAGATTTCTTTCCTGAAATGTTTCTCACCTGTTGAAATAGTTTGGTTCAGAATTGTGCTTTATTTTTAGAAAGATAATTGTAACTTGTATTATGTCAAAATCTATGTTTAAAAACTCCTTTGTAACTCTATAGATTTAAGTTCATCGGACAACAAGTGCTCTTATTTTTTTTTCCCCCCCGTTTTAAATAAGGGATTTTATAGTGTGTATACAACTACTGCAAATGCCAACAGCTGGATTAAAACTATAAATATATTTTGTCTCATTTCTTTGCAAATGTCTCACTCACACAAACACACAGCTGATCAAAAAATACTTTATTCATGTAAAATCACAGGTTTACATTTTACTAGGACTTCAAAGTAAAAGAGAATTTATCAAGTGCTCCCCCTAGTGTTGATGTCACTCTACATCGTTATCCTCACTCTTCAGTTTGTTACAGAGGCTGTAGGAGACAAAATACATTGTAAATGTTTGTCAGTTCAAACACTTCCTGTCCCTCAGTAAGGTGGATTTGCAACAATTCAGTTTTTTTTTGGATGTTGCTTTTACAGTAATCACTAGTCGACACCTGAATTTATCAAAACCACCTGCTGAGGTAGGAGTGGACGTCCGAGAAGCCGTGGTACTGAGCCAGAGGGAACAGGATGCCAGTCGGGCAGCGGCCCTCACGCTGGCGGCAGAAGCTGCAGTTGCAAATGCCACGACATGGAGGGCACTTCCAATCCTGAGGAGAGAACCAAATCGTTAAAACACTAAAGTAAGTGGTATTAGAAAGACAAATTAAAAGTTTAACTTTACAGTACAGGTAGTACTACTGTGAAATGAACAGCACAGAGATACAAAGCCTTTATATAACCCATGGATATTCTAATCATCAACAGAGGTTGTGTGTCCCCTTGTGACATAACATAACCATAAGATCCAATATTCAAAGTCAAATCTCAAGTGTTGGACTTGAATCTAGGCAAAAGATACAGAGCCATTTAAAACTGCATCTGTGTTAAACCCTCCCCTTACTCACTGACATTAAATACTGAAATAATGTGCATCTGCACAGGTGTAGGGTGCGTGTCAGCAGTCCAACCAGATCAAGCAGCGCCTTCTTGACATCCTCTCCGTATCTGTTCCTCAGGCACGGCCCGCAGAACTGACCCTGAATCCCCCGACAGTCCTCACTGCGGCAGCACGTCTTGGTGTCGACAGTTTTCTGACGGCACTGATGACACGTGGAGCCCTGACAACACGTACGTGTACACACACACACACACACACACACACACACGTTCCCTTTATAAATCCCAATCAACTTGAAATGTGCCGCATGTGAGGGAGCTCTATGTCAGACCCTTCAAACGCCCATAGTTGCCTATAAATCCGGAGCACCACTCCTTTATAACCAATCTGCAGGAAGGGGCATCCCTCTTGAGTAGTGACGTCACTGACCGGAGGGACACACACACACACACACACACACACACGACTGGATGACCCAGGTACTAATTTGGATTCCCGCGTTTGAAAAGAGTCAACCAAATGCATTACACCTGTGTTTAAACATTTATTTAGGCTACACAAACACCCCACTCACTTAACAAGGCTGGCGATGAGTTAAAAGAAATAGGCTGTGACTTGTTGTAAATGACAATATAATAATGTTTTTACAAGCAGCGCATCACATCCACTCTGGCGCACAGCGTTTGGCTCATGAGGAAACGAACATGTGATAATACATGAACTATGCTCTCGTATTTGCTCGACTGACGCACTGAAAACGGCATCAATTTAAATATAATTTGTCCTCCTGTTCACATTATTGATGACAATAAATTTCAATGCATGCAAGTAGGCCTATTAATAAATATGATTCCTGATTAAACGTATCTGAGGTGTTCTTTTGCAGAATCAGATATCTTGTTTGTGTTTATTATGCTCAGTCATGGTTCTTTTTGTGCACTGCAAATTATCTTAAATTATGTTTTTTTATTGCACACTTCAGGGAAAATCAATCAAAAGAGTTTCTGATTATTTAGAAAGGCTTTAAGCCTACAATACTCAGAGGTAATATTTCGATATATTTTACACAGTAGTAGGCATATTCATTTCAAACAGTTTCATCCTTCTGCCATGTGAGTCGCCGTTTCTAATTTCTCCTCTTTATGTGCGTACACATGGTTCAGAGTTTACTTACGGGACGCACATTTTCCCATCAAGTCTGTTTTTTTTATAGATCACAACCTTTGCTTGGGAAGTGGCGTACGCACGTTTCCAGCCCTGTTTTGTACGTACGCACCATTTATAAATAAGACTCCTGATGATTTCAGCAGTTCTTCCTCAAATATCAGGACTCTGAACCAAAGTTGCCACTGTGATCTTGTTAGTGGTCGCTGGCTTAACTGATTTTGCTACAAACTAACATGATCTTGTCAAATTTTTTCCCAATATACTGTGAAAGAACTGCAGTCAGGCTGACAACTCACTGTGACTCTGTTGTAGACTTTCTCAGTCATGTTATCTGCGACCAGCTGAAGCTCAGCCTCTGTGATGTCCTCAACAGGACGGATAAAATGAGGTTTGCACTGATTAGGTCGTGGGGCGCCACGTCGCTGTGGGGCTCGGCGTACCTGGAACACAAAGATGAAAATAATGATTTACTTAGCTAGACGTTTTACACGTAAATTGATACTCTATTATATGATAAAATAGAGAAATGGAAGTCACAACATATTAATATAAATAGGTTACAGTTTTCACTCTCATTACTCATCTTTTGTGAATACATCCATGCAAAATCCTACAGCAAGTCATGCGGTCATGTCACACAATATGTTCACGAGATTACTACATTTTCTTGCCTGAGATCAAATTTGAAAGTAAATAAAGCAAAAGTATGTATAACACATGCACAATAAAACCATGTAAAATTCTTATTTTACTGTTAAAAACAAAACAACAATGCAATTTGTTGTGTGAAAACTTGTCCTGTCAACTGGTCTTTGATAAATGGCAGAGCCGACCTCCAGCAGCTCCTCCTCCAAGCTGAGTTCCAGTTCTTCCTCCTTAGGTGCTGAAGGATCTGCACCTCCCCCCATAGAGCGGGTCTGTCTGCGAGTCACCCGCTCTGGGTTCTTCCTCCCTCTTCCAGCTGCACCGGAGCATGGTGGACGCTGCAAGTGATGTTGGATAAAATCACCATGCATGGGTATATTTAGAAAGACTGTTATTCAAGCCCCTACTGAATTCTGAAGAGAAAGATAAGGATGGTGGCCACCTTGTTAGTTGAATATGTTGTTTTCACCTTTTGTATACTTTCAGAAGAAACTTGGGGGGGGGGGGGGGGGGGGTCTTACTTTCAGTCCACCATCCCTCTTACTGAATATTAACAATCGACCTTGGGATAAAACTCACTGGTTTGTGAGGCATTTATCATCATCTTCTACTCACAGAACTTCTCTCTTTTGTCTTCTGTTTGCCTGCTTTTTTCTTCAGTAGCCCTGCACCTCCTGGCATCTTGTAAAGGTCTGCCATTAGCTGGGCCAACTGTTAAAAAACAGGGAGGATAAAAAGGATTAGAGACATGGCAGATGACAAACATCTTGAGTCAGAGCAAATCTTCCAGCACTCAAAACAAATGTAACAACATTTTCAATGTCACCAGCCCCAATCTGTACAGTTTAGCCTGGTGGCAATGTGTATGCACTATGCACCATCAAAAAAACATTAACACTTTTAAAAGCAAGGTGTGCCTCTGTATATTATTCTTGTGACATAATTACAATAATTTGTCATTTTTAAGCACAGCTTTAAATAAACATGGATATGTCAATTTTCAAATAGTACTATACTGTATGTGTCTTTCTGGTTTACCATTGCTTTGTTGGCCTTGATGTTCTGTTGTCTCTTGGCCAGGAAAGAATCCGATACATCTTCTGCCGAATCAGATCCGCTCTCCTCAGGAGCCACTGGGGTCTCTTCATCCTCAAATTTAACATGTTTCACTAATTTTGCCCCACTGGTCTTTCCTGCCTTCTTCACCCCTCTCTGTTTTGTCATCTTTTCTTCCTCCTCTGCGTCCTCATCGTCACTGGAGTGCATGGTAGAAGCAGTGGAGCAGAGAGCAACCCTCAGCTTGAAGGTTTGGGAACCAGAAGATGGTTTGGATGTGGCTTTCTGCTCCTTGGGGAAAAGGTCAGGCTGGGCTTCATCTTCCAAATTTGAATTCTCATTGACATATAGAGATAATTTCATCATTTCCCATTTTACTAGTGACGCATCTCTTACACTATCGTTTTCACATTAATTATTAGAACATCGTCTGTTAGCTGCATTTACGTGAACATGAATGAAGTAACAAATCCCTACAAGGTAATTAATATTCCTGATTTGACAGCATTATATCATAAACAAAAACACGTGCCTATTACAATTAGATCAAATTCATAGGACAATATTTACTTTCCCAATCCGGCAATATGAAGGCATAAAGGACTTGAAGGTCAAATTACTGCTCACCTCATTGCAGTGGTCGCTGAGTTCGCTGTCAGAAAACCCATAAAATGTTCGCTCATTTTCAGAGTCCTCGGCGAAAACATCAGCTAAAGTTAGCTCTTTTGTAAAGGAGTGCATTCCTAAAACTCCTGCCTGAAGAGAGATATAACGGCAAACTTAGCTTAAACATGATGATTTCATGTGTAATACGAATTCAGCGTGGTAAATAATTAAAATGAAGTTACTATACCATTTTATTCTTGACGTCAGTGGACTGCAGCTCCTGAAGTTTAGCTAGTTTCGCCCGCACGCAACTACCTGTCCAATTAATCTGATTGGAAATTGGGCGCGCTTGTTTTGTAGTTCAGGGGAGCACCAATGTACCCGAGTTAACCTCGGGCGATGTCGCTTTTTAAACTTGGAACACGTGCAGAATTTCAAGATACAAAAATAGTTATTATTAACTTAACTGTGAAAATGTGGGTGTAATTGTTGCTCTTCGAAATCATCCATATGAAATGCATCATTAACAGTCAAAATAAAATAAAAAATGTCTTCCAGAACACTTTTGTTTTATGAAGGCCACTCTATGCCAGAGAAAGTGGACGATAAGTTAAAAATGTATAGTAAATCAAAGTAAGTCAAAATGTAGAAATTAGAAAAATTACATTACATTTGACTGATTTGACTTTGACTTGAAGTTAAAACTAAGAAAGTCAGAATCCTGACTTTTTCAGACAAAATGTGAGATAGTAGGATTCTGCAGTCATGCTGGCCTTTCTTTGTGGCTGAGCTAAATGCTAACATCAGCAGGCTAAAATGCTAACAATGACACACTGCTGAAATTATGATGTTTAGCAGGTATGACATTTATCATGTTAATAATCTTAGTTATCGAAGTTGGATGGGAATGCCATCAGGTAGTATTTGACCTTGTGCTGGTGCTAGAAGAAACCTCAGGGGGTATCACTAAAATCAGTAGGATTCATCCTCTGGGCAGGGACATTAATTTCTGTACCATATTTCAGTAGGCTACTTGTCAAAACATTTCACTCAAAGCCTCAAATGACAACTTCTTTATGGCACCAGAGGAAAGCAGGTCACCAATGTCTTCAATAATTCAAACTCTCTCATCATTTTGACACAGCAATGGACATTTTGAACTATCTCGCTTTAAGTTTACTGTACTGTACATTTACTAATAAATCTGCCCTGTGTACCTTGTAACCTTGTATTTTGACTCAAGTCATAATATATTGTAATTTTAACTCTAGAGAATAAAATTTGGAATATCATAAGTTTGATTAAGTGGCCTATGCCTTAATTAAAACATCAAATTGTATTTTTAATTATTGTCTTTCTAATATTCTCTTAAAATTTCTATTCTCTTATTTCCTGGCATAATTGGCTTCCCATTATTTTTTAGGCTAAAGACAATAAAAACAATCAATGGATGTTGTTCCTGACCAGACTCAGTTTTCCTGAAAACCTTTTTGCTTCTTTGAGTTTACCTGTAGCCCTAAAAACCGAGTCAGCTGCAGACAAAATCCCCCTTGAAAGTAGATTTTTTAACAGTGAGAGATGATAATGTTGGTAAATGTTCTGTATTCCCACAGCCCATTATAGCAGTCAGCATGTCTTGCATGCAGGTGTGTGGCAGTGGGAGTGATGCTTGGAAACGTGGGAAACTCCTCTCACATTCTCGGACTGATATACGCACTTCCTGTGTGGCCGATCTGGGCTGAGCTGACAGACAGAGGGACAGAGTGACCATGATACTGAAGCGGTGGCAGCTGATTTTGGCTGTGGGTAAGTACATTGCACATGTATGTTGAGTCATTTAATAGCCTCTAATTTTCAATTTGATAGCTGATAATAGAAATTTCACAGTCTGGGACAGCAGTAAACTGTTGTGTCTAAAGGTGTTAAAGGGAATATTGTGGCTCCTAATAAGATGCACATCTTGACTTACATCAAAGCACATCCTCAGCAGCTGTTTGTCTTTGCTCTTCCTCCCAGAATACATCTTTATATGTATCTCCAGCCATTCCTTTCCTCAGAAGAGACGCTGTGCATTCCAAGTGACTCCCCAGAACAACAAATACACAACTGCTGGCAACGTGAGTGAGTCAGTGCAGCTCTGTGAAAACACCCAATGCTGTGTGGGCTATTTTCTGATCATCAATGGCCAGCCAGAGGTTGACGTTCTCGGTAAGAATCCGTAAAATTTAGATATGTGGACTAGTACATCTGTATAAGTCTGCACAGTCTGGATTCCATTCCGTAAAATCTAATCATATTTCCCGGGCTGAAACTGGTTAATGATGAGTCTACAGGGTTATTATGGTTCTAATGTTTTAATCATTTTGTAATGTGTTACTGATTTTTCTGTTGCAGCTTGTGATATAGTCGAAAAGTCTTGCCCAGATGCAATCTGCAGGGCACAAACACGCTTCAACGGCCTCTTCACTAAGTGCGTATGCAACACAGACCTCTGCAACAGCAACATCACTTGGACCACACAGTCGGACGAGCTTCGACTCCACTACTCTTACTCTGTGGGTATGATAATAATAAGATTGCTAACTAATCATTGAATTTCACTTGCAACCCACATGGTGAAAGAAATATTCTGACAGTATACCAGAGTGAAGTATTTCTTTTCATCACAAAAATGTTATTATTGTTTCAAAAGATGTGTATTTTTTAACAGATAAACCACCATTGTCTTATCTCTTTTAATTTGAAATTTGACACAAGGTTACAAAGATTGTCCAGTCTTTTTTCAGCTAATATCACATTTGCTCTTGAAACATGAAACATTCAAGCTAATAAATACACTTGAATGACTCAAAAATGGTATTCATCATTCACAGATAATATTAACACACACTTTGTGCTTTCTTCCTAGATGAAATAGCGAAAACAACTGTAGTAATTCTGATAGGATTCTTGCTCGTCCTGTGCTTCATGATCTTTGCTGCCAAATGGAGACGCCTCTTTAAAAAGAAAAGTAAGGCCCTTTTTGTTTTCAACTTTAAGATGGCATAGCAAAAAATTGTACAGGAATTATTTTCACTACAATTTCTTTCTTTTTTTTCAATTTGACTGTCCTCATTGCATCATTATAGCAGTACGTGTCCCAACATCTGTTTATGTCACAGTGATTAAACAGACATAATATAAAGGAAACAATTTTGTTGCTATTGCTAATAATGTGTTGATTTGCCTTACTGAATGCATTAGCCGAAAGTGGAAATTAAACTAGAATAAATCCAGCGCTTTTACATTGAGTTACAGGCTGTGAAATTGTTGCCCTTAAAAACACCCTCTCTGATTCTCAAAGGACATTCTTGTTTCAACATTTTCTAAACTCAGATTAAGTTCTCATGATGTCTTTGTTTGACCTTGGAACTGTTTCTTTCTCTCTGTTGGACTAACCTTGGTGGTTATCTCTGCTGTTTCACTCCCTTTTACCTCTGTCCTTTGTTTATTACTCTTCAGATCATCACATTTCTGTGTTTTCTTTTCCTGTGGCTATTCAGTCTGGCTTGTTTGTGACTTTATTGTAATGTCACATTACCTTCAGTGAGCGAGTGTTAATACAAGGCCTGTCTGCTTTATTTTCCAGAGAGTCCACCCTCCCTTGACAGTGTCTCAGCACCATGTTCCTGCCAAACCTCAAAAACCTCTGAGATTGACATTGCTAACATTGAACTACAGCAGGTATGTCCAGCTTTCAGGTAGATTTATACTGTAGCAGTGTGCAAAATATTGGTAAATTATACATTGTGTGATATATATTACCATGTACTGTTGTCTTACCTGAATGTTCATGAATGTACATTTTTTTAGATTGTGGGCCATGGGCATTTTGCAACTGTTTGGCAGGGGAAATATCAGGGATCAATGGTGGCCGTGAAAGTTTTCCCTGCAGGCTGGAAACATATATTTACTGCAGAGAAGGAGGTTTATGAGCTACCACTGATGAAGCATGCTGGGATTGTTGACTTCCTGGGCACTGGGTGGAAACCGGATGGAGGCAGTTGGCTCATTGTCCTGCAATTTGCTGAAAATGTGAGTGGCATGTGAGTCGTTAAAGGAAAATTTATTCAGTTTTCCCCAATCGGAGAGATCAAAAGTTATTCAAGGAAAAGGAGACAGAACAGAGGAATGTGCAGCTCTCTCACTGCTGTCACAGTGTTGTTTTCGGTTGTAGCAAGCAGCTGTTTCCGTCAAAAAAGCTCTAAAAACACACTGTACACTACCTGCTCAGCACCAAAAGACAGACCGACACGGTGAGCGACTAGCTGGTGAACATAATGGAGCTTTTAGCAGTTAAAGAGCCAATAAATAATAAATAAGCTAATGTTTGCCCATCAATTTAAAAGCTGTTGTGTTCACACATTGTTTTTGTTGCCCCCAAATGGCCTAAAAATGTTATTGCATGTTTAATGCTAAAATTCAATACTGCTGAATGTATAGCACTGAAATATGTGGCCAAATGCTTTAAGCTCTTTAATGTTCACACTCTTGGACATTAATAACCGGCATCACTTTGATTTCAGGGTTCTCTCAACTCCTTTCTGTGTAAACACACCATCAGCTGGATGTGGTCATTGAAGCTGTGCCAGTCTTTATCTCAGGGACTTTCATATCTCCACTCTGAACTTCACAGACATGGTACTGGCCTGAATATTACTGTGATACTGTGTGAGTGTGGCTTGTCCATGTTTTAGCCTATCTGTGTAGAAAGCATGAGTGAGCACTATCATATGGGTATGTGTGCACATTGTAGCCAAAATAGAAAACATGACTAATGATATAATTTATTAATTTAACTGTTAAATGATTAAATACAATAAGGTGAGGTACATAAGCACAAGGCTACATACAAACAGCTGATATATTACAGGGATTCATAATTATAAACATGAAGCAGGCTTCAGTGTTAAGTATTGTAGAGAGGGAGGCATCTGAATAATTCTGGTACAGTGTGTCATGTGTAGTGGCTGCACATCTTGCCAGCCACTAGGAGGCCATTAGGCTTAATGACTGGAGTGTGGGTCTTTCTTGATCAATATAATCCACCACAGTTAAATATGCAAACATATCAGAATCTTATTATTTTACATGTGTCTTTTCCTTCAGATGTGCATAAACCTCCTGTGGCCCACAGGGACTTCAGCAGCGCTAATGTGATTGTGAAAGCAGATGGTACCTGTGCCATATGTGATTTTGGATGCTCTACAATCCTGCGTTCTTGTGCAGGATCTCACCGCTGGCAGAGCCACACAACAAACATAGAGGTGAGATCCACGTGGAGCCACAACTTGTTAATTCACAGTACTGCAAAATCAAAACTCTTGTGAAAAAAAAAATCCAGTGACGATAAAGATTCTGCTCAGTGCATTATGGCTGCTGCTGTGATCATTCACATACTGAACAGAATAAACGAAAACCTGCTACATATAATACGTAGAAAGAACCAATTTGCATTTCTGTCCATCTTTAGGGTCGTGCTCAGTTGGGAACGCTGCGCTACATGTCCCCTGAGATCCTGGAAGGCTCTGTAAACCTAAGCAACACCAGGTGTCTCTTGCAGGGGGACATCTATGCTTTGGGACTGCTGCTGTGGGAGATCTGGATGCGCTGCTCTGATTTATTTGAAGGTAAACGTTCTTTATCAGATCGACAGATACACTATATATATATATATACACACATACACTGTACATGCATATACAATATATATACACATACATAGATATCTAACAGATACAGTAACTAAAATAGACAAAAATATATAAAATGGAATAAAATGTATTTTTCCAAAATTATTATTTAACCTTTATTTATTAACAAGGTAGGTCCCTTTGAGGTCAGAAACCTCTTTTTCAAGATCTCTCCAGGCTGGCAGAATAAAATCTTTCAGACAGGACAACACAAAATCATGCACACAAATAAAACAATACTACAAAACAGGTAACAATGTTATGAAGGCTAAAATAAGCAGAGACATTTACGAAGACAAATAATGATACTAAGAAGGCTAAAATTAGCTAAAAACTGAGATAAAAGATAAAGGTAGGACCAAAACATTAACTCTAATATGTATTGAATATATCTAAAATGATAATGTCCAGTTCTGTGCTGTACATAAGTGCAGATCAAGTATATATTGCTAACACCTGTACGGTAAAGTGCAGGACTGTCCTTGGCTGTACAGTGTATATATGGATCATAGATGACTATAAGGATCATTTCTATTATGTATATGCAGATGGTTGTCTGGATGGTCAGAAAAGTTAAAAAGAAAAGCAGATGTATTGGAATTAACAACAGATAGATCATTAATGTAATAGATGTGATGAAATAATGTAATAAATAAATCCAGATGAGCAGTATGTCGTAGTTATATGAGGCCTTTACTGCCAGAGGAGCTCTCTATCCAGAGAAGCAGAGGAGACTTGTTGCTGGCACAAATTACTTCCTGTAGCGTTCCTTGTCACAGAGGATCTGAATAAGTTTCTAACTGAAGGTTACTGAGACTGAGAGTCCGAGACATTATCCATGATGTTTAACACTTTGTGTAATGTCCCCCTCTCCACGACCAAGTCTGAGGGAGCCTGAGTAATCATGAAAAGCTATCTGTAATTGAGATGAGTATCCACTTCTCTCCACCCCTTAAAAATGCTACTGGAATCCACAGAAACTCTACTTCATTTAGATCTAACCATTCTGAAGAACTCCACACATCACTATAAGTAATCAAAACTAATAAATATCACATCAGACAATACTGTCAGATTTTCACAACTTCTGTTTTTGAGGTTGATCTGCAGGATCAGCTGTATTTCTGTGCACTGTTCTGAAATGCTTTATTGATGTCATGGTACTAAATGGATGTTAAAAATCAAGCATCTGTCTCCATCTGCAGGCGGTACTGTTCCACCGCATCTGTTGCCTTATGAATCTGAGCTGGGAGCCAATGTAACACTGGAGAGCCTCATCCTGTATGTGTTTCACATGGACAAGAGACCTGCCATACCTAAACAATGGGAACTGCTACCACAGGTATTCTCACTCCGGGTGCTTCTACTTGAGCATACAGCTTTTGTATTGGCCAGGTAGCAATACTGGATAGCTGGTGAAGATATTGATCACAGTGATGATACTGATTTTGTCAATGTATTGACTAAATCTTCCCAACTTTTAGGGATCTGTGCTGCAGCAGCTCCTGACAGATTGTTGGGACTGTGACCCCGAGGCACGACTGACTGCTCAGTGTGTTGTGAACAGACTAGACTCTCTTCAGTCATGTCAGTCTCCATGACTTGTTTTGTTGCAATCTACAAATCAAGTATTTGCACTGTTCTCTTTGTGTCACTGCTGTTTAGCTTTTCAGTATATTTTCACAATTTTGTACTGTATAGGTAGCCTCATGCCATGGACATGTTTCCATTAACCTTTCTATTAGATTAGTTACAGGTACAGGTATATTATGGAAAAATTGAAATGTGTGTCCATAATGGACAAATTTTTTCTGAGAAAGAACAAAAAGAAATGTTATTCTTTCACTCTCAGCAGGAGGGATGTTCTTTATATTGCTTTATATATATATGATTTTGGTTTTGCATTTTTATAACAACTGTTGTTACAGTGGTACTTATCGTATGTGTAAAACACTACTTGGCAATAAAGCTCCTACTGATCTGATTCTGATTAAAACTACTAGTTACACTTACAGTATTAGACTTTTTTCACCGCAGACATTTTTACTTGTCAGGTGGCGCTAATACCGTTAATGATGGCTCTGTGACATTTTAGTCCAGTAATTCAAGCCAATGAGTGAGGATGCACAACAGGCCTTTTTCACTGAAAACTTTTTGAGGTGTCACAGCAGAAAAAGCACAGGTGTAAATAGTAACATGAATGAAGGCTATACTCTTCAATATCTTAGTTTTTTTCAGTTGAAATGAAATGTGTTAAAGCTCTAAAAAGCCCTGTGTTGTATGCCTAGCTGTTTACATAACTGTTCATCCTGATAGCTTTTTGTGTGGAATATGAATCATAGTCATTTCAAGTCAGGTGCGCGCACCTGTGTGTGTGTGTTTGTGTGTGTGCGTCAACTATCACTTACAGCGATTGGGAGTTAACATCAACAACTCCATTATCTTTACCTTTTGCTACACAGGAACAATTACATCAACTTCTCATCCAAAGCTTGCTGCGTTGTGCCAATAATGTGCGTAGCCTTTAACGAATGGCGTCGCTTCCCTTTTTCCAGGATGGCGACGGCATGACCCGCCCCACTCTGCCTCTGATTGGCCCAAACCACGACAGCAAACGAGTACTAGTCAATCAGAGGCAGAGTAGGGAATGTCATGCCTTCTCCATCGTAGGAAAAAAAACCTCCCTGTGCATTTTGTTTTGCTACTTCCGTGAACTCCCAATGCGGAAGACTAACAGAAAGCTCTGAGTTCCTGACAAAGTTGGCCGGACCTGAAGCAGGTGTTTAAGGTAAACCCATGAAATCTTGCGTGTATGGAACAAAACAATATGAAAATACCACAGTCAGTTCTGTCTTATCATACCTGTAATGTAGAGATAAATTTAAAAAAGTGTTGCGACGTTACTGGTGGGATCTCCGTGCATTCACGTGGTGTCGGAATAATCATATATTTTTCATCATCAGCGATTTTAATAACTGATCAGTCCTTGAAAGTTCTCTAATGTGAGCATTTGCTTTTCTCTATTTCCTGTTATTGTAAATTGAATATCTTTGGGTTTTGTAACATTTTGTTGGACAAAACAAGTAATAAGATATCTTCTTGACCTTTGATACTGTTAGATAAAGTAGAGAAGACAATGTACAGGCTACTGACAAAATCTAATATTAGAAACTCCTTTTAAACTGGTTTAAATTTTGGTATGGTCGAACACTGCATGTATACCATATTTAAAATATCCAACACAGGGTAAATGGATATCATCTCAGATCAGAAACCACATACTAAATTAGATGAAAGACACTGTTTTAGTTACACACTTAATAAGTTACTTTTTACATGTGATATAATTTTACTTAGTTAAATATTCATTGCATTTACTTTCTCATTGTTTCCTCCAGGATTTTGTAGGACCTTAAGTGTTCAACTTTTCTGACTTGGCTCAAAAAACCATAACGATGTGGCCAAATCAAGGTGGGATGTCATACATAACAAGGATATTATAAGGATTTTGCCTTAGGCCTGTTTTATAATATAGGTGTTCTTAATAATAAAGTGTGTATGTGTACTTTCATGTATATCAGGTCCTCCACCTCCAGTTGGTCCACTAAACCCTGCCTACCCTCCAGGCTACAACCCTTCAGCTCCAGCAGGAGGCTTCCCCCAACCTCCTCCACCATACACAGGGTACCCAGCTGGCCAATACCCAGCTGGTATGAATCCTGCCATGGTACCAAATGCACCTCCGGGGGCGATGCCTTATGGAGCTCCAGGAGCTCATCCTTATCCCATGGCTCCAGGTGGATATCCAGTAGTCCCTCCTGCAGGTGTTCACCCAGGTCCATACCCACACTCTCCAAAAGGGGGTCACCATAAAGGCCACCACAAAGGTCATCATCATGGAGGGGTAGATCCCATAACAGGAATGTTAGCTGGAGGAGTGCATGGGCATAAAGCCGAGAAAAAAATGAAGAAGAAGATGAAGAAAGCACATAAGCATGGGCATCACAAACATGGCAAGGTGAGAATGAGTTACACCATGTAAGAGTTGTTTACAATGGCTCCTCCTGCAGGTGAAATATTATTGTCAATACAAGATAAAAAGATGAAACTTGAACCTGCCTACGCCCTTCAGCCCCAGGCTCTAACTTAATTCAGTCAGTGCTGCAAACACACACCTTCACCAAGCAATAAACATACAAGTTCTCAATGAGTGCAAAGTGCAACATGGCTAAAGAGACACAGTACTGTTGGGCATCAACCGTAGTATTGTTGTATACAAGTGCGTTTGAATAGAGTCAGTTAAGATTAGTGCTTTGGGAGTTTAACATATGGCTGCAGTGTCATTTTTCAGTTAACATGGTTGCTGTGAATACAATGACTGTGCAGTTTTGTTGGATAGTCAGTTACTATGCTGGCTTTTAAATACAATTAAGGCAGATGTGGCATTTAAATGTATTTAATAGGATAAAATATTGAATCCACAATATGCTACGTCATGCCACGCAAGTTGAATGTCACAAACCTTTTTTTCCATTTATGTAACATAGTTAAAATCAACATCCGCTTTAAAAGCACAGAGATAGTTACCTCTAAAGGCAGCTTGGAGATACATGACACAGCAAGTGGGTTTATGAGCTAAAACCATAGGCCAAAACACAGCTGTGCATTAATGGTTCTGAGGAAACATTAGTCAGGTTCAAGACAGGGGGACCCCTTCTGGTAAACTCACCTTAAACTCAAAGTTATTAAAACAGCGAAAATACATAAAACACAACAAACCAAACTAAATAAGGGAAATATACTGACCTCCTTTTGATCTTCTGAGAAGATTGTAGGCAAGATATAACTAGAAAACCATGATACATTAAATTCTACAACTGATTTGTTGTCATTAGGTCTTGAAAATAGTTTGTTCATGATTATGACATTCCTTCCATTTCAAATGACCCAGACTACTTTGTACAAAAATGGGAAGCCATTCCTAACCTTTGACATGACAACTACACTGCAAATTAATGTACAAATGCAGATTAAATTAAAGTTTTGTTGTTTGATTTTTACAGTATAATTTTAAATCTATTAAGATATGAATACATAATCTTTCTCTTTTCCACATCTAATCTTCTCCACAGTCCTCCAGCAGCAGCAGCAGTAGCAGCAGTAGCAGTGACTGAGTCTGAGGCAACCATTTCAAGAAGACAAGGCAGCAGAAATGTTGCTTTATATGAAAGGGCAACCTGACTGTTGCATTTGGCTGTACTGGCATTCCACCACGTCTTAAATTTTCTTTTCTTTTTTTTGTTTGTTTGTTGTGTTTATGTCAAACGTTCCAAAGTTATGGTTTCTGTACAATACTAAAACAATAGTAAAACACTAGTGTAGTTTTTTTTTTTTGACTAACCCGATAGAGGTGGAGAACAATACATATATCACTGTATTTATTTGTGGCCTATTGATTATTTTTCTAATTTAATGTTCACTACTGCATTGCTTTGTATCTGCACTGACTGTAATTATATATAAAGGTCTTCTATTAATGCTACTCTATAAATAAATATAAATGAAAAGAAGATGTGTGTGGTGTCCTCCCCAAACTGGTAAATGTTATAAACGGAGTTGCAGTACACCCTATGCCCACTAGTGGCCCTATAAATAAGTATATTATTGAAGTTTGTAAATACGAACTGATTATTGAAACACTGATAACGCATATACATATTTGATCTTGTTTAAATACTTGTAAAAAAGCGTGGGCTGTCACTTATTTCCAACAACAGATCCTTCCTGTTGTGCCGTTTTAAACCAATCCAACAATGTTTGTATTGTATGCAATTACTCTTATTTTTAAACTATATGACTTAATCTAATCTGTCATACTGTAGCATAAATTCCCACAAACGTGCTACTACAAGTTGCTCTTTGTTTTTGCGGTCGTGATTTTGGGGCATCATCGGATCTGATTCGGGATGGGGGTTTGGGTTGGGTGAAAGGGGAAAGTTCAGAGGTGATCATTTTGTTGTCTTTGTGTAAAGGAGTGGAGCTCGATCTCACATCACTCTTCCCTCTTCCCCGAGTCCTTTCTAAACTCTCCCCCGGGTTTCTACCCTCCCGAACCTCTCCCCTTCTACCCTTACAACCCCAACCCTCCCCCCGATCACTTACCAGCACACGAATCAGGTGAGTTTTATTTTGATGTTTGGTGTTTTTATATATTTTGTTATGAGCAGAAGTAGCTGAAAGAAATCGCGCCCAGCAGCTAGCGGCTGCCTGTCCAGCATGCTAACAGGCCGCGTGATGATGAGCACGCAGTCTCCGTACAGAAGCATTTGGCTAGCTTAGCCAGACAGAGGAAGTTTGATTTTAATGTCTCTTCAATAAAATACTATCTGTTGTTTAATCTAAAGGGGACATAAGTACCAAATCATGAAAGCTGCCGATGGTCAGCTATTAATAACGTTGAGTAATTAAGCTAACTAGCTAGCGTTGCTAAGTAGCGCACGCATGCTTCATTCATTTTCCCAGCACGGGGAGCAAACCCAAATGCTAAATGGCTAACAGACTTACAACAAGAGTTACTAGTTAAATGGAATAACTTTAAACTAAACAACAGACGCGAAGTAAGCAAGTCAGTATCTTTTTTTCATGACGAACACACTTGTGAATGTATTTTACGTAATGTAGGTCTCATTGTGGTCACGGGGGAGTAATTGACCGCACATTTGTTGACAAACTTGATTCAGAGCTAATGGTGAAGTCATCGCTAGCACATAAGTCATGTGTTTTTCAGTTAGCATTGCGATGGATTTAAAGCTAATTTGCTTGTTTGATGTCAGATAACTTGTGTCGGAGCAGGGTGTTTAAAAATAAATGTACCCAACGAGCAGCATAACGTTACAGTCGGCACAGTGAAAGTAGCCCTAAGACAATTTTTATTATTCGTCGTAGTACGCATCAGTTTATATTAGCATTACTGTTAGCATAAGC